AAACACCAGGCTTGCACACAAGTGAGGTTGAGCGACGTACATCTCACATGCGTGATGGTGCCGCAGATCACTTTAGGAAGGAGCCGCTTCAGCCTAGCGCTCAGCACACTACTCTGCCGCTCAATACCAGCACACATATAATTGGGTAGACTGCGGGGACTGAGTTGGAGCGTCAGCCAGCAGCCTTCGAAATCACGTCGTTTGACGCGCCATGATATCCTCAGACTCGAATCACATATGCAGTAGGGGCCGCATGGATACGCAGCAGAGAGGCACATATTACAATTGCGTGGGAGGTAACTATTGACTACTTATGGTGGATGATGATATTGCGTGATGTAGATGAAGGAGGACGTGATGGTGTGGTTTTGAGGGCGGTTGTCTATCCCTGGTTTTCTTGAATGCGCATGTGGCCTAAAAGGCCCATACGATGCTTTGTTCACATAGTCGACGAGCTGCAACTTAGCCAACGGCCTGCAGGAGGCCGGCACTAACCCTAACTAGTCGAACACAAACGTCCTGACCGCTAAACACAGGACAAATGCTACGATGCACTTGCGGGTATTCCATTCGTCAATTATTCTGCTTTAAAAACTTGAGTGCAACAGTCACATTATAGTAGCATCTGGGGTTAGAGGTACACGAGTATTTACAGCAACAAATATCTTCGGGATACGACTGCCGAGTTTCATGTGAAAAATAAAGTATACACAAATGATCCACCCTAAAAAGGGGAGTCGGAAACTGATGCACATATTAGAACATATAAGAAATATTACTGTTTATGAAACAGAGGAGGACTTCCAATCAGTAGGAAGCGAACTGCGTGACTTCCAAGCCTGTCATACCACAGAGTATATTTCTGCTGTGGAAGATAATGGTAATACACCATGAGGGGTGAAATCATTCACAGGCGAACCGTTTCGATTAAATATTTACTAAAACTTAATAAATAATTCGCTAGGAGAAAAATCAGCGCAGGTTACCCAGATTACACAACCTCAGCTTACCACTCGAACCCATTTACGGAGGCGCTGACTGGTGGATCTAACGGACGCACTAGACATGAAGTATATATAAGACGTTATCTCTACGTTTATGCACACTAAATAAAGTTTGTATGCTACGGTTTCACTTCAGTCGATCATATCTAGCCTACCGAAGACTTGATACATATGAGCAAAAACGTCGTCTCCAAGGACAGATTCGCACATGAATGAGAAAAGTCAGCCTAACGAAATTGCTGTTCCAGAAATTAAATTTCCATCTGCCAAAGACTTGATTACTCGCACGCGAGTTGTGCGTGGTTGCGCTTTTATCACCGGTGCCGGTGATTAGCGTGATAGCGCACGATATCTTAGTTAACTAACGCCTCCAATGAATACCGCAATCAACTAGGCGTTTGACGTGTGAACAATTATGCGTACAGGCAGACTCGGGAACTAAAAGGCAGGAAGGAGATTGTTGCGGAAGATCGAGAAACAGGCATATAAGACAAAAGGATGATAGAATGCATTCATTTATCGAAAACCACTGTCGCATTCAAATGAATTCAAGAAGGAGCGCTGCAGCTAAAAGAACTAAGTTAAAATAACAATAGTCAAGACTGAGCCTCCAACACTAAACAAAGAACTAATGTTATAGGCACATGGAGGAGGCAGTTGAGGGTGAGATGAGATTATGCCAGGAATGCGTATAAATCAGAAGCAAAATTATTTCGGATTTATTCTACCTTCCTCCCTATAAACAATCTGACGCGCTTGAAGCTATCACAGTGCGGTCAAGACCGTGGCTTGGGAGGCTGCCAACTGACGGGATAACTCGGACCCCGCAGTCGGCCGAGGGTTGTGTATGTTTGTGTGGAGCGGCCGACCGATGGTCTGAGAGTCAGGCTGCAATGGCTCCTTCTTAATGTTGCTTTTACGGCACTCCCGCTCCGTGGGATCCCAGCCAGGTGTGACGGCACACCTAGTTGTGGCTTTGGCCGTACCAGCCACTCTTATTTTGTTGGTCAAACTCCTGGTTATTTGTTGTGTGGACCAGAGGGGTGTGGAATGGAGCGCCAAGGTGTGTGCTCGACCGTGCCATCCACCTGCGCTCTTCCTAGCCTCCGGTCTTCTTGACTCTGTCTTGACAGCGGGTCCAGGAGGAGGTGGGGGAGGAGGAGAGGGTGTCGAGCAATTGTACATTCACTATGAGCTAAATTACGCACAAGTCACAGTTCCTGCTCCACCTTGCTGTGGATTACACGGTGGACACCATCAGCAACGACGGTCGACCTGCCAATACGTTTAAACTCATATTCTACGATAATGTGACTGTGACAATCAAGTTTTTAGAATAGAATAGAATACCCGAAAGTACAGTCCTAGCATCTATTAAAATACCATTTCTACCCTTTAATTTAAAACTGAATGTGTAGACACGTATATTTAATTATGCTGTTTGTGGCAACGCACGCAGCATTCTAGCATAGATTGACTTTCGCTGGGCCAAGCCCATGCAATGAGATATCCCACTTGTCAACTCATTTCCATTCAAATGTCTGGGGGTGAATTAAAACCTCCCTGTATGTTACTACTTCCTCCATCGTACAAAGGGATTTTCTTGGTCAAAATGTTGATCTAAAATCATACAATCTAAAATTAGTTTTGCGGAGATCTTATGCAGTGACTATCATTTAACACGCAAATATTCACAAAACCTTTTAAATGCCTCAATAATCCCACAGAGGCATAAGACGGAACTTTGAAACTGACGACCATGCTCGAGGGTGTGAGTGAAGGCTCATTGGGATTATCGTTGTTTTGCTTCTAAATACAGCACATGCATTTTAACGGAAGTTTTAAATTTGATAACCATCCAAACTGTAGTATCTCTCCTATCCGCCATTCGAGCCTATGAAAGGGTTATGCGGATATTATGAATATCTTATCAATGGCGGATTGGAACCCACGATTTTGGGGATGATTTATTTAAGTTTTTCGACTTGTTTTACTGTCTTTTTACGGGAACAGGCGGAATAATGGTGAACTGCTCTCTGCAGCATTAGAATTATTGTCTTCACCTGGATTCGTGTTTTTTATGTTATTCCAATTTTGATCTCTGTAACAGTAGAAAATATCCTAATACTTTGCTTGTAAAACGCGATCACTGACTGGATACCTTGATGTCGTAAGCAGAAAGCCATGAGCACACCACTTTCGGACTTTTAGTGTAGTGCAATGGATGTCCCCTTTCCAGTGTGAGATGACACCATTCATTTTCAAGCGTTCATTGAAATCCTAGCAGAAATGCCTTTTTTGATATACCTGCCTAATCTTCTGTATATTCTATTTATCGAAATGTATATATTTAGACTAATATCCAAAGCCTCTGGTTACACTGTATACCACTAAGAAAATGCTTTTCAGCAGTCGACTGTTTGGGCCATTTTTACGAGCAAAATTAAAAATAAAACTTTGTTCTCGAAAAACATCATCCTCAACAAGGATGTCTGCGATCGGTATGCATCCAGGTACAGAAAAACATTTGTTTGGTTTATCTAGAAGTCAGTTATCCTCGAGGCAAGATCAGGACGCAACTAGCAGAATTTTCGTTGGGTTTACATTTACATGACTGAAAGTGAGGTCATTAATGTAGCCGAGGAAACAGATCACTGGTTTGTTTTCTTATGGACTGTTTTTTACGTCTCTAGTTTTTTGGCCCATGTTTTAATTAATTTGCACCGTAGGCCTCATAATGTCGAAAAACGTATTTAATGACACACAAGATAATCATTGCAGCCTTAAACTATATGTTATCCAAAATAGCTCAGTTAAAATCCGTCTTCCCGCAGGTTTAAACGGTTACTATCAAAAACTTGTTCCCTCGACAACAATACTTTGCTTCGAAATTACAGATTTCGGAGTGAAGAAGGCCTGATGACATTATTTCTGTATTTTAAGGAAATACATTACACAGCTTTACTAAGCATCCTTTTTGAAACCGAAATTCCCCTACTTTCTTTTGAAGACGTGACTATTCACACCTTGCCCGACTTTATTTACGCGGGATAGAGATCGACCTCTAAGCACGTGACTGTTGGTTTAAAAGAATCTTCTCCTTTTTCTAATTAGCCATTTTTAAAAGAACACCTAAAACTAGCCGAGTTGATCTGTGATCCTTATCAGCAGAAGAAATTGCTTGGATATAAAGATGAGTCCACTTTTCCTAGTATTTTCTGATTTCCGTCAATAAAATTCTCTCAATCCCTAATCTGCGTTAGGATAAGTCTCATCACGCACCACAGTACCCTGTTATGCCGAATTCATGACGCTCAAGGTGTCCCTCCCCAACCATTTAAGGTTCACTCACCATACGCCGTCGGTTCCGTCATCCACCGTAGATTACAGGTTTTAAAATTGTGGCAGGACGTTTTGATTGACTTTCGCCAAGCACTTTGGTCGCTTTCTTTTAGGGCTGAGACTAAGGGGATTATGCGTTTTACGGACTCATATCTCCTCGAAAAAAGTTGTTCATGAAAAGCAGTCATTGGAGCAGAGTGCAATAGATGGGCAGCCTGAGAGCCGCTTATTAAAATCAACCTTTGGCGCTGATTAATGAGCCCAACCTTCACTTGTGGCCGCCCGCGGCTGTTGTCATTTCAGTCATTAACGGGATTGGTCAAGTTTACCTGCGCTGAATCAGTGTTTGAGAGTGATTGTCCGCGCCCCGATTGGACAACGGTTTAGCCAATTGGATGGCCCAATAGTTGCACGGACGCCTTGACAGGTGAATCTCGCGCTTCCAGAGGAAATGCACTCCTATGGACACTTTTGAGTTTGACTTTCTGCATTGAGGATACCGAAATTCGCGCCCTTGTTGGTTAAAGATATGAAGCTTTAACTGTGATACGGACGTCAGCGTGAGAGAGCGAACCGCTCACCTCTGTACGTCGCCTAGATCGTGGAAAATTCCTGTGGACTATAATGGTAGATCAACCGACTTCCTCGCCAACCATGTCACATTTGCTCAATGCTTCCGCTGATGACCCTAAGGATGAGTACTGTGACCCGACGTCGTTCGAATGCACACCTCCGACGCTCATCCACAAGCACAAAGATACAGTGTATTCTAACCGCAGCTCTCAAAAAATCGTTCGAAGCCTCCGACGGGATTCTGGAATATTTTCTCACGAGGTTTACTACTACGAGCCAGTAGCGGAGAATGAATTTGGTATGCAGGAGAGTTTGTTAATATTGGTGATTTACTGGGAATGTCGACATGCATAACGGCTGATGGTCTTATTAATGCCTCAGCAATTGCTTATTCACTGGAAATTTGTTTCCCATTGCACAGGCTGTAATGCCTTAATTTTCCTAAGGGAATATTTCGAAATCTATTCGCAAACACAGGTTGCAATGTGATATACGGGCGTAACGACTGGTTAAGCATTTCTTAGGACATGCATCCCGTCCATATTGCGATTCCTTTATGACTATTCGTGGTAAAATAATCGGAAATGCATTATTTGAGACAGAATGCAACCCAGGCTTCAACATGTTGCGGTGCGAGCCACTACCTTAAACCTAGCGAAGTCGGTGCACACGTTTAACATTTTGTGAAAAATTATGGAGGAATGGTGAAGTATCCTTAGTGATAGCCAAATGTTATGTTAGCATTTGTTGCTCCCTCTCACGATACAGATTGTTTATGAATGCACTGCAGTCCTTTTATGAATCATTGGACGTCAAAAGACTGATAGCGTAAAATGCATTCGTGGTGCATTAGACGCTGTTTTAAGAAGGTCCTGCATGTTTACCGTGGGTATTATGAAGTGCCTTAAATCCTGAGTAACTTGGGTTATCTCTGAAGATTCCATTTATTACTCGGAAGCTGGGGACCCCTTGCTTTATTTCGCTAACCACTTCAACAGGAGGTCTGTTGGGCGAGTCGAATGTTTCCCCTTCACTTCAAAAGAGCGTCAACCCGGCAGTATAACGTGTTTTCTGAAAATTTTATAATGCACAGCTGACCTTTATTACGATGGGCGATTTCAATGTTCTTTTATTTCCAAAAGTCGAACGTTATTTTTGACGTTTCCGGTAGCATTTGTCCAGTAGTCCTGTACATGATTGACGCTTTTTCCGTCGAAGGCATGATGGTCCACAATAATCCACCCAGAATACAATCATGGTGAAACCCCTTCTACCAGTACTCACAAGAACTGAAACTGTCAGAAAATGATTGTCAGGGAACAATGATTGCCTTGTTGGTTCTACGCTTTCTTATGTTTATGTTGTGTATAGTCTGATAGGTATTCTGAATGTCATACATAATTGTCCCTCTATGCCTCTATAATGTCAAATCTGTTTGAAATAATCTCAGTGGCAGTGGAACCTTGCTTACAAAGATGTCCAAAGAAATGTCAGGAGGTTTCAGGCGCTCCCGCCTTTTCCGTTTTAAATCAGGCCTTATGTTGCAATTCATGATGTATGCTAAATCTACCAGCTGGTGTGTCAGGAAGTTGTAAATTGATGGTGTATTAGGGTTCTCAGCGATATCTACATGCCTATGTTGCACCTGAACGTTCCTTGTTATCCTTGCTTCACGCAGCACGAACTCATCCTCTCTCCCTTGCGTACGCTGTGTCCGGCCTTGTTGACTGCATACCTTTGAAATCGTTTACCTCCTGGCTAGGCGGGTCTAAGTATCGAATACATATTTGACTGGCCAAGACCGATCAACTGATTCGGGTTCAAACCGCGAATGCGTCGGTACCTGGAGAAGGGGTTCCAGCCTAATTCTGCCCCTTATCATCGTTTAGGCACGGGAGTGAATATGTTATTACCGACAAAGACAAGGGAGACTGGAATAGCCATTTCTGGCTTGTTAGCCGTGGTCAGCCAGTCATACCCAACCCCGAAGTGTAGAACACCCGAGGCTCTAACTCACGACCTGTTGGTAAGAAGTCCACGCCTCTAACCACTGGGCCACGAGTCCGTCGCCCTGTCGGTTTCGATCGGGAATATACAATGGTAGGGGACGCTGACCGATCGTTCTTATGGGACCCACTCGTTCCGTTGTGCCTTACGGGAGTAAATACTTCACCGTACTAACGGTGGTCTTGCGTAAATTCCCAGGAATTACAACTTCCCTTGTCCTAACGTCAACCCTAATTCCAGTCCTTGCAATAACCCTAACACCTCTGGAACTTAGTGTGAGACCTCCTGAAAAAGGGTTGTTGCCTTTTCCTGTGCTCTACTCTCAGCGGCTTCGACCCAGCATCGACCTGGCGGAGCGCATGGGTGTGCAGTCTTGCTAAATAGAGTGACGCCGAGCCTGAAAATGTCATAATACGGTTATCACTAGTCAGGGAAACAGTCATTTCAGTAGTCTTATCTAACCGAAGGCCTATCAACAGACGGAATTGGGACAGAGGTCGTGCGATTCATCAGAATGACCTTTTTGCTGTGTCCGGAAGACGGTTCATGCGCTAGTCAGCTGTCCGTTAACTATATCCGAACTTCAAAGACCTTCCACTTCTGGCAGTCGACTAGGGTTCCTAAACACAGCCAACCCTTTACTTTCTTAATATAGGATTGAACTTTCGTGTGGCGTAACCTTTTCATAATTTGGACCGACATTTTGACGGCTGATAAATAAGTAGCAATGCGGGGTTAATCATGTAGACGTAAGTAAGTACAGTAGGTGGGCTAACTCATAAAATGTCAACCGAAATTCCAAAATGCGTTCTCGTTCCGAAAAGATCAATTAAGTAGGGTTGTAAAACGAACCATCGTGCAGCGTAATGCCATAGTAATTCAATTACCTCAGGATGTCGGATTTCGAACGAATTTCTTTCTGATTGCACGTAAAAACTATACTCTGTAAAAACACTACTTGAGTAGGATGCATTTTCCTCGTTGATTTTCAATGCCCTTAAAGACTCAATTATATTAAATGGAAAAAGTGCATAAAAATATTTATTCTATTGCTCATCTGGTGGAAAATTACGTCTTCTTCCAAGCTTATACTCGAAGTATGGGTATAATAAGGTTTTAAAAAATTTTCTAATTGTGAGACTTTTAATACCGTGAAATGGCCGTTCTTAAAACGTCATGTCTCTGCATTTGCCAATGTGGCTTGTAAAGTTAACAATATTGTTCAAATCCACTGCTAAATTTTATGAACCTAATGTAGTCTCCCCTTAATACCATAGAGGAATGTACGGTTTTCTGTACACGTAAATATATACGGGTTTTAATTGGGAAACCCCGAATACAAATGTGACCGCAGGTCGGGTTCAAAATTATTCGGGCATTGGAAAAGTTTTTGAAAACCGAATAATACTCTTCCTTCAAGTATGAAATTGGGAAAGGCGTCATTTTCTGCCGAATGAGTAAAAACGAACATTTTTTGCATGTTTTCCATGAAATATAATTGAATTTTTAAGGACATCGAAAATCAACGAGAAAATGCATGCTACTTAAGTAGTGTTTTTACAGAGTATAGTTTTTACGTGCAATCAGAAAGAAATTCGTTCAAAATCCGACATCCAGAGGTAATTGAATTACTATGGCCTTACGCTGCATGATGGTGCGTTTTACAACCCTACTTAATTACTCTTTTCGGAACGAAAACGAATTTTGGAATTTCGGTTGACATTTTATGAGTTAGCCTACCTACTGTGTCTCAGGGCTTCCCATTCTGGTGGAAGCAGTCTAGCAAACATTGCGTCATTTTGTTTTTCCCGAACAGTGTCAGGACCTCAGTGGTCGATAAAATATTGACTCAAGCTTATCTTGCGCGTAGCAAAGAATACTGATCTGAAGAATTTATTAGCTTGCTACATGGAAAAATCGTTCACAGCATCGTGTTTGCTTGCTTGCTTTTACAGGCCATCGCTGACTACCTTTTCCCTTAGTTGACGTTTGTCGTTTGTCCTAATTATTTCTTTACGAAATGTTCCTCGTAAAGGCCGCTTGGGTGCTTACAACGGAATTCGCAACTAAGCCCTCAACTAGGTCTTCTCAATTAGTCCGAATGATTTGACTCAACTTGACTGAAAACACCGATGTTTGGTGGCGGTTTAATTAGGGGAGTCACCGATGCCATTAAAAGTCCATCCTATTTGGCACAAAAAACCTGCATGAATTCGGAGAAACAGGATTGTCTTGCTGACGCCAGTTTTTTGCAAGTTAAACTGGGCAGGATGAATTTTAAATTGGAAATTCTGCCTTAACTTTTATTACATTCGTGCCTTTAGGGTGCCTAACAGTCGACCGCTGCATACGGCTTCTAGGCCCTCCGACGGTCTGCGTGGTCCTTTTCACAGATAACTAGCCAAAAATCATCATTAGACGAAAGATGCGGTCTTAATGGCAAATGGGTTGAGCGTTTAGTTAAAATTGTTGACACACATGGTTGCTCCACTAACCCTGCACTTTGGAAAAATGCGAAATCACTACTAGCTTTAGCACTGTACAATTTTGGGTTGTTTAGTAGTGTACTAGCAAAAATGGCACGTAATTTTTCAGACTTTGCTAGTAAAAGCGAGACCGACCGACTTGGCGGGTTTTTTAAAAATTAACGTGAACCCTTACTATGAGACCATATCTTTTGGGATTACAGGTAGATCCTACGCGGAGAGACTCCTGCGATCGTTAGATCAAGATCACTGTGCGATTTTTAATGTGCCTCGGACTGCCTTAACTTCGCCGTTTCATCTCTGTGTGCATTTGTGTTCTTTCTCATATATGCTGCCGTTTCTGTCTACAGCCCGTCAATTCCGGTTCTGAATGCGGCCCAAGACAACTTTGAGATATCCTGATATGCCTGAATGGACTGCAGTATTTCTTGTTAAGGATGCCTTCTTATAAGCAACAATCTCAAAGCCAGTATAAGTGTATCCTAATCTACACAGAATTCTGAATACAGAAATCTGGAAATTAGAGTACATGCATGAATGGGCCTGTCTTGCTTAACTGCAAGCTCTGTCAGTCTTTCGTCGAGCACAACCTGCGCCGAGTTAGAAATTGTGGGATGTTGCCGATCCTGGGCAGTCCTGTTTGTCCTTAGCCGCTCTGGGTGCATTTGCATACCCCTTTTGGATGTTTGTGACATTAAAAGCCGACTGAATGGCTACACATCAGTCTAATTTAATAAATAAAGTCCGCTTACCCAACCAGCACGTTATCTAGAATCACTTAAAATTCACTTGAAAACACCGTTCAGCATTTCGAATCGATTACTAGACGGCACACAGACGCGATACCGGATACTTCGTAGGGGAATGCATTGTGAAGGACGGTAGGTAATTAAGAAGAATTGTGGGCAAAATGAGATGCAGATATAAACGAAGAAGAGGGGTCGACTTAGTCACAACTGGTATGTCCTTCGGGTATTCGGGTCTGTACAGGATTTCTTCATCAGAGAACTTGCAAGTGCCATAGCACAAATAAGTTCCCCTGTAGAATTCTAAAGCCTGTCCACTATCTGCGTCTTTGGCCGGAAACCAGATAGGACAGTTCAGATTTGGGCGCGTAAGGCTTAATATGGGGTGGAGAGTATCGACCTGTCGGTTTATGGAATTGTTATCGCGTATGCAAACCCACAGCAGCTCACGACTTCTCCTTTGGCTGGCACGTGCTGTTACCCCTGTACCAGCCGAGGAGAATTCCTGGTCGGCTTCTAAAGTGGCGGTTTGGAACAGTGGGTTACCCCTGCGCATTGTCGGGCTGCACCCACGTGATCGCGAGTCGCGCCTCCTCGCGGTTTGCCCCAGCAATTTCAAAGGCAATTTTAGCCAGAGATATAATACGTAGCAGTGAATTTCTTGGGTGATAGGTGATACTGGCGCCGAAGTATGCAGTAAGCGTCTTCTGTCTGCAGTTGGTATTTGCGATTCCTAGTAAAGGCTTTGTCGGCAAGAATTATCTTGCATAACCATCTGAGTGTTGGCTCGTGTTTTTACTCCGTTATGTCTGACGACCAAGGTATAATATTGAGATTATGTCTGTGCTCTGTTTCAGGTTAAACGTAAAGTGGATCGGTTGCGCCACATTCCGCTTGGTCTTTTATGGCAACGAAATGTGTGTCGCATAGGCGCTTCGAGTAAATTTTGAGATTAGTTGACAAGGAGGATTGTCCATAGATGTTTTGGCAGATTTTGAATAATCCATATTGACCAAATTTGAAAAACTCGGCCCCTCGGTGGGATTCGAACCCGCGCAGTAAGGGGAAGGCTTTAGTACAGCCAATGCTCTGACCACCTGAACTACGAGGCCCCGCCGAACGACGCGAGTTTAATCAAATTTCGGTCAGGTTACCCGCCCAACCTACTGCAACGTCTGGAATCCACCAAATCTGATACAGTAAGTTTACTGCCCAAGTAGGATGTCCTAGGTAATTCACCTAGAATCCATCAGATGACTACAGGGCTCACGTAATTGATAAATAAACTCATAGATTAATTATTAAAAATCTGTCAGAGCACCTATGAATTACGTGAGCCTGGTTGTCATCTGTTGGATTCTAGGCGAATTACTTAGGAAATCCTGCCTGGGCAGTCAACTCACTGTATCAGATTTGGTGGATTCCAGACGTTGCAGTAGGTTGGGCGGATAACTTGACCCAAATGTGATTAGACTCGCGTCGTCGGGCGGGGCCTCGTTGCTCAGGTGGTTCGAGCGTTGGCTGTACTAAAGCCTTCCCCTTACTGTCGTGGGTTCGAATCCCATTGAAACGCCAAGTTGTTGACAGTTGGGTCAATATGAATGAGGATCGTGGCTATGTGCCTATCACCGGGAAGAATATCAATGGAGGCTAATACTACGCCATCTTTTGGTGGTAGCGTTAAGAACAAAGTCGGAGCTCAGTCCTAAGACCGAGGTCTGAGGTTAGGGTATAGACTTTTTTCGGCAGGTGATTGCATACGGTGATTTTGCTTCTTTTTTAGCGCTGTTAGTGAGCTCTGGTTTGCAAAGGTTCTAGGGTGGCTTTTGTTCACTTATGATCGTCAGCTAACCATCCTTTGTCTCCCTTGGTCAGGAATATCTATCATTCAAAGCTCGATACAACTGGCCGTTTGACATAACTTTCTGCCGTATGACATGCCATCCCACTTGAAACTCCCGGACTGGTCATAAAAACAGATGTTTTGTCGTTGTTTTTCGTAGTTCTTGGTTTGATGTCGACAAACTATGAGGAAATAATGCTCACCTTCCATTTGACGGGTCTGATTCGTAATCGTTCCGTCTCCATCTCTAGTTAGAACAAAGGCAGAATGTTGTGTGAACAAGCATATAATTTCGCCGTCAATGTGGTCGCGAAAAGTGCCATTGCCACCATTACTCGCAAACGTCTTTTAGCAGAAAACGGCGACTGTGCATATTGTAAAATGGTCAAAACTTTCTTGGTCAGGTTTGGAATCATTTAAGTTAAACATGCTAACTGCAAAACAATCCGGTCACCCTTTTTCTCCCACAAGAGGTTGGCGGTTTGGAACTTTCGTCATAGCCTACAGTTCTTGAAGGCTGTAACCTCGGGCGATTGAAAATAATTTTAAGCGAATGATGAAAGATATGGAAAATGAAATACTTTAGGTCTGATTATGGATCTCATTCGTCCGGCTTTCGCTAACCCCAGTTATATCAGTGCACAGTCAAGTCATGTTGTGATGTAATCTCAACACCGGGTGGCACTTTTTGTTACCTGTGTTGCAGCGCCCTTGTCCCTCTGTGGTCACAATGCTGAACGCTGTGGTATAGAATAGGTTATTCGACACACATAAACGTGCTGAAATATTCAGAAGACGAGTTTGCAAGGATACGTTTGCTTTCGACAAATTCTCTGCAGGCCAGTACAATTATATGGGAACGAGATATAGTCAAACCTGTAAGTAATTAAAAAATCGATAAAGGTTAGTCTTAAAAACACAGACGAGGTGAGAGCCGAAGGGCGCGGAAAGTCGCATGTGCATGGTCGGACTTTGACCACAAAGCCGATATGAACAGGATTCTTTTAAATCTCTGTCTTTAATTTACCCTCATGAACCAAGGACTGATAGCGTCAGACTTTGTGGACTTTCTTCGTCCGTTAGAGGGCCGGTGGATGCCCAAATGTCCGGCCGCATTTTACATGCTTCATTTCAAGCACTCCTGCAAGCCCTACAAGGCAAAAGGGAAATAAACCTCAGAAACCTGTTTCTGAATCTACTTTTCTTGACGGACTACGTCAAATGCTGCAAAGGGGGTGTCATACATAACAGAATATATTAAGGAATATCACGTGAGGCTCATTCCTCTGCATAATTCTAACACTCATACTTAGTGATTCAGTATGCAATGCGTCTCAACCTGAGAACCTACAGTTATGTCTGTGCAGTCATTTCTGTGTACGCAAACTCGGATGTTGCTGCGCCCTTTGTTGTATCTGCAAGCGCAAACATGGCGCGACAAAAAATACTTCACGTTTCCATGCTTATTACCATAGCGCCTGACCTGACCACGTAACGTTCCCTCACCCGTTCCCGATGTGTGAATCAGCCCTGGGGCAACCGAAAGACCGCGCACGCATTAGTCGGTTTCGCAAAAGTTCGTCCATGTTTTGCTCAGACCTCAGTTTTGCTGTTGCTGTAGTAGTACAGCCACGAAAAAGCTGTGTAGAAGGAAGCGCCTATTTAAGTTTCCTACAAACGAAGATAACGAATTGCCCCAAAGACCCCTGAGGACGTCAATACTTTGTAATACACTCTAGAGATAGAATTTTTACGATAGCCAAGTGTGCTGACCATTTTAGGATCAATTCTCACGAGCCTTGTTTTAAGCAACTTTGCAAGTACATCGAAGACTGGAGAAGACAGCAATAGTAGCAAAAAACTAGTGAATGGAAGTGCGCACGATGAGAAAACTATTTTCTGTAGCCCTGCGGAAGGGATCAAGATAGGTACTTTGCTTTATGGGCTTTTTATTGACAGAAGGCCAGATTTGTTGCGAATACTGTTGGACAACCACGCCTAAGCTGAGAGGTCGGCATTTCTAAACAAAGCTTCACTAACGTCCAGGAAGATCCCGTAAATTGATTGGCAGGTGCAGATTAGAATGAAGATAGGAAAGTATAATCGTTCAATTCCATTTGATATCAGGGATAATATAATGTGACTGTGCATTCCATAGTAGTTTTATTGTTAGCCTCATTTTATTTTCATGTGACTAAAAGGGAGAACATGCGAACTAAATTATAGACACCTCCAAAAACGCGTAGTCGTGACCAAGATGTTGTATTTATAAGACTCTGTACTGAAAATCTGATTTTCTGTTTGCGTTTATTGACCTGAATGGGATTGCGATCTGAATTTATGTGAAAATTGGTTTGCGTTAATGAGTTTTTATCCCTAGGTGAACCAAAAGGCCTACGCGAAATCTCTGTGTAGATTTTTGAACAGATCACGTTCCCATCTTTTGAAATTCGCAGCTGGGCATGAAAACACTGCTTCCTAAGTTGTTCCACGTAGAATAGGCCACATATTAACAGCAAATTCATTTTAAGAGGCAAACTGGGGAGTTAAAAGACCTGCCATGTGATTCCTGTCAGCCACCATATTTAGACACTGGAATAGCAAGGCCTCATTAAAGTTTCAACCCTATTTTCCTTCTCTCGCCATGACAGAAAATTGGGAAATCTGCCATATATTCACTACCGTACTTGCTTATACTAGCCACCGAGATGGACAGGATATTTCCGCTAGTCCTAAAGAGAGAACACGCAGTCATGTTGTATGCATTGGACGGAGGCTTGAGGCCACTTCAACGGTTGCGTCCAGTCTTACCTCTAGGCAGCTTGATTTGGGCCTTGAGAATTTAGCCGATCAAGCTCAGACTCTATGCCCATTTTTCTCACGAGGAGAAACTGGCTCGGTTTTAAACCTCAAAGACTCCTAAAAGCCTGTTTTGGACATCGATGTAATGAATCGGTCTCTTTTGTACTGCGTAGGAGGACAAACGCGTGTCTGACGCGCATAGACATGGAACCACTCTGCGCATGCCCATCTCCAGTTGTTCTGACCATGCCCAACCATCGTAAGCCAATGGACATAGCAACAGGGTGGAGTAGATGCAACAAAAGTCCACCCCCCTTTAATTCAATCCACGCGCACGTGTTCCCCGTGCCTTGCCACGGACGTATTATCAGCCTGAATGGTGCGAGCCAGGCGTGATTAGTGTCAAGGTCAAATCACTTGTAATGAAGGCTTGGACGCAAGTCGGCATGAAGGGCTCGGCGATGTGAGTGGCAGTGACGAGCCCTTGATGTTTGATGGGCAGGCACGTGACATGATGTGTGGGCGCGCGCATCAGTTGAGAAAAAGTGGGATTAGCATGTGAGCCAGTCGAATCGAGAACTGACAATAAATAGCCCACAAGTGATTCAAAAGGCTCTGTGGTTTTGGTACGACTTGCCGACGTCATTAAAGTGAGTAATTTAGATTTAGTACAAGTTTTTTTCCTGTGAATCGTTTACTTAAGTCTTCGAGAACACGATATCTACTTTTGGCGACGGTAGGACGAAGGAGCCCAATTGAATGGCGGTAGACTGTCGATCGCGTCACGCGGAAGTGGTGGTAATGGCGGTTCCACAGGTGGGGCAGCACGCCAGGCAGTAAGCTGACGAAAGGCAAGAAAACACGGCAATCGTTTGAATTTCTGATGATAGTTTTGTTGTACGATTTCGTATAGCAGCTGAAATGAGCGCACTAGTTACAAAATAAACAAAAAGCAAATTTCAAGCAGTAACGGGGTTTTCAATAATGATTTGAGGTCATGGAAAGTAATAGTTGTTGGCAGTGTAATGTCTGCAACGGCCTGCAAATGGATGCCATGATAAAACCCTATACAACCCGATCCACGGTCTACTGACAGTTAAGTTGGGTCCTTCAACCTGCCGTTGTCTTAATAATTTGTTTGGCGCAGTGCGGGGTCCGACGTGCACGGATTCATTTTAAAATTAAGGAGACGCCCGAATGACGACTTTGCAAGCAGCAGAGGTAGGGTCAGGGAAGATCTTTCCTTTGTGAACTGCCGATGTATTTATGGTAGCAACTAAAATAACAACCAAATCTGCTGTCGGAGACGGATTTTCGTCCCCCCCCCCCCTCCCTGTTATACGAGAGTGGTGGTTATAGATGCATTTTAGGAGACGAAAGATGGTATTCTAAAATATATGAAAAATTCGTATTTGCGCTGCATGGTTTTTTTGAAAATCTTAAAATGGCACTTTGCAGGAAGATAATTCAAGGGGTTACACCTATCCGTTACCCACCAAGTCTGCATTAATAGATTAAATAGCGTACCGATAATGCTCGGCAAATACAGTGGTTTAGTAAACAAGTCCCATGAAAGTGTTTAGGTCATCCATTTCCTTGCTGTTATTAATATATACCGGTATCTAATTTCGATTCGGCGCTGACAGTAATTGCTTTGTGCAGGAACTGACTGAGGCTAGAGGCCTCCGGGATCCACTGGCAAGCATTATTGACTTAAGGTTTAGCTAATGCTCAAAACCAAAACACAACTCAGGCACTTTCGACTTCGCGTTTTCAAGCAGAACGCGGGGCAACATCAAATTCTGCAAAACGAGTGACGGTCCTCTGGTAGGTGTGGAAGAACTCGACTGAAATTCATCAGGTCGATTTTGTGGCTTTCATATGTCATGATCCCATATCTTTACAATATTGGAGAGGAAAATGGTTGCCCCCTGAATGGTAACTCTCTTGCAAATTTATTTTCAATACGTGTATTTTCCCTGCACTGAATAACTTTCCGTTCATTCCACAATGCAGAAAATCAGACCACAGCCCCCCCTCCCCCCTAACTGTGACAGCCATTTCATGTTTATTGCAGACAACTTGCAGCGCAAATACGGCGAGCTCAGCGGTGAAATTGTTACGGTTGAGATTGTTCTGCAGGACATTGAAGAACTCATTAAAACAACTAAGGCTCGAGGCTTGGGCATCAGCTTATGTGGAAATCGCGATCTCAACCAGATGGCGGTACTCGTCTGCGGTCTGCGACCGGGTGGAATCGCTGACCTCGACGGCCGGATCATTGTTGGTGACCAACTTCTGGAGGTTAGCTGCCTTTGGACAGGCTGTCGGGTTTGTCTGGCTGTCAGTACTGTTTCTGTGATGGCTTTTGCTGCTCTTACCATTTACAGCTCAACGACCACGTCCTGTATGGCCGCAGTCACTTAAACGCCGCTCCGATTATCCTCTCCAGTTATTCAAGCATGCTCAATAAAGCAGCGGATCGAAAGAAGCAAGGAAGTAGCCAGGCGTTGCGGTTTGTCATTCGTCGGCTGCCCGAAAACTTGACCAATCTCGCCTGTCCTCCAATTACATATCCATCGGTGAGGCATGTAAACTGGTTTTTGTCTTAATATGTGCAATGCTCTACTTTCCTGGTCAACCCCTTTTTGGAGTAACGTAAGTTTTCCTATTGATTGACAGTAATTTTGACAAAATATTATCACAACACGTTTTTCGTCTAATTGGCGTTTTGTCACAGCTTAAAATGGCAGAGGGACGCTCACCAATCGTGTTACGCGACGCTATGTAGCTGCTCGTTGGGCTCGAGAGAGGGAGAGCCCTAAGGGATAACGGAACGAGTGAGTTCCGTAATACGATCGGCGAGCACTCCTCTACCATTGCATATTCCCAAACGCAACCGACAGGACAGCGAGCCTGTGGCTCATTGATTAGTGGCGTTGGACTTCTAACCAACAGGTGGCGGGGTCGAGTCCCAGGCGTTCCACGCTTCCAGGTTGGGTATGACTGGCCGACGACGGAAGTGAGCCAGAAATGGTCATTCCAGTCTCTCTCGTCTTAGTCGGTAATGCTATTCTGCCTAGAATTTGTACATTTTACAAGCACTCGTTTTAGGAACATATGGGTTAGGAGTGGCCGTCTTAGAAGGATTCAGAATATTTATTGTAAGGGAAACGCATGGTTCTGACTAGTAGTCACAAATCTCCTCTAGATTTATTGCAGCATGGGTGAACAAGCACTAGTGTCCTAGACCATTTTTGATTTGATCGGCATGGAACGAGCTTGCTTTGTTAAATAGGAAACCAAACAATACTTGCGAGCAGGTTTGCTTTTCCTGTATTTGGTCTAGTGATCACATTTTTAAAGTAGTAAATATAGCAGCGCAGTAACTGTAGATTAAACCCGAGACGTTAACGTGCAAAGAGTACATTCTTTCGGCGTATGTCAAATTCCACTGTGGGTTACTCAGTCCAGGGTACTAGCTCGTGACTTTTTACTTGTCTATGACCGTATAAGCTTAATTGCTTTCAAAAGCGATTTCCGTTTTAGGAGAATAGAAATCATGCACTTTATATCATCCACAGTGAGGTTTTCAACATTAAAATACACTAAAAGTGCTGCTGACTGGTTAGCTAGGTCAGTGTTGTGAGTGGGACAGTCGAGTCGCTCATAATCAATCAAGTTAACAGACGCTAAAACATCGCATGGAAAGCATGCGCATAACACCGTTTCACAGAGCCAACGTTACGAGAGGTCATCGGTCTCAGGTGATGATGAACACTGTCGTGAGGGCGAACTGGTGGATTGCGCGACATCAATATCACCTCTTCTCCCACCCATAGACAGGCTTCTTTCGGCAAGATAAAGTCAGGATGGTTCGGGTGGAAGGTAAGTAAATTGCATAGGCGTCAGCCAGTTGCTGTCTCTGAATGCATGTGCACGACAGTGTGTCCTTCGCGAACGACGGCGTTCACCAGGCGCCCCACGAAATGAACGCAAGATCGCGAATCGCGCATGAATTAGTTTATAGTGAGGCAGACTTGAGCAGCAGCTGCTGCATCATCTCCCCTCTCAGGCAAGATGATGTCAAGGCGACCGAAGGTGGCAGCGGATGCACGCACTAACAAGGACGAGCGCATCGTCTACGCGTCCTACACACGACCTCGTTCTCTGTACATGTATCAGAACTTCATGGGGCTGACTCACATCCCACGCCTGTGATAGTGCCAGGAATGCCGCTTAAATAAGGAGCCATTGCAGCCTGCGTCTCAGTCCCCAGAGAGAGCAGAGTAATCGCGTTAGTTTGCAACCTTCCAGGCCATGTCTATTAGCACGTCGTGACAAATTCAGGTGCGTCAGATATAGCACATAGTGAGGGAGAGATTCCCCAGTGCCGACCCCTCTTTCCTCAATGTGCCAGTCTACTGCTAGCCAGCTGGTGATGGGATTGGACGCAATGGCTGACAAAGTCAAGTAAGCTGTTTACATGTATTGCTGTTTAATTTCCTCAGAAATTAACGGTGAACTTGGAGTAGATCAGCATATTCTAGATCTAGAGGCTCAGACCGGAGCATTTATCTATGAATATTTAGGCCAGAGTCCGGTAGCCACAGCGGATAACTGCGTAATATTCATCAACCGCCGCCAGGAAACTAGTAGTATACTTAAGGGTAAAGGGATACCATAGTAACAGCACAGGTATTAGTCTGTGCTTTTGGCTAATACCTTTTTGGCCAATGCCTTTACACTAAAGGTTTACATGTGCCCCACACTACCTGCTCTCCGCTTTCATCTTGCAGTCCCCTTAAGAAGGCATCGTTTCCACTTAAGTGACGTGTATATGTTCTCGCGTACAACGTTTTACCCGCCACGACAAAGTGGATCGCATGGTTGCCCCAAACGCACGGACGCAAGATAGTTGTAATCAGGACCTGGTCAAGTATGAGCCCCTGCGGAATGTGGTAAACTAATCAGTTGAAAAAGCTCCACATGCCTTTAGCAATGCGTCTGTTTGTTTAAACCGAAGAAAAGTATCGACTTTGCCTGAGCTTAACCGATCCTACTCGCAGAATAATACCGACTAGATGGTAGTTTCGGCACAGTGACTGACGCGCTCCAAAGTCTTCGTCTAGCGTCCGTCACAGGTCTGCATACTTTGTTTTGATTTAACATCGCGCAACCCTTTTTGGGGCCCTGGGAATTCCAGAACCATCGGTGAAATTAGTTGGATATCCAGTTCACCCTGAGTACACTGCACGGTCGGCTGAGAAGACCGACTGTTCCGTCAAAACTGGACTCTAAGGTGGTTAAGGTACTTCCTGGGGCAAAATACTACTTTTTCACTTCGAAACCCCGTTCCAGCATATACAAGAAATTTTGAATTCATCCCAAGTTCAGTTCTAGCTTTACGAGAGGTTTCTAAGAGGAAATGCGATTGAAGCATGGTTGTGGTCCAATTAGTTTAATGCTCATTTTGCACAGGGCGTGAAATTTACAAACTTTCAGTTAAAAATTTTGATTAATCATCACGTTGTCCCCAAAACTGATCTCCGAGGCCTGAGTGGTGGGCTGATCGTTATTAATGCTGACGTTCCGCAGATGTACACGTTTCAGATTGGGGCTCACCTAGGTTCCTCTATCGAGTGAGTCACGTTCCGAAGTCAGATCAAGTGAATGATGCAATATTCACCACGAGGGTGCCATTAGGACGTTGAAGAGCATTATTCTGCAGTGATTAATTGTAATCACTGCTCACACGAAAATCACTGTCTAATCCACAGTATTGACTGTTGATTCAGACGATATGCATGCAGAGGAGGAAGAGGCGGATGGGCGCTTGTCAACTCAAGGTACGACTACACGGTCTTATATCTCTCTAGTAAAAAAACTGTTTATGCTCAGTTTAAGACACTTCGCATTGGAGCGCGCATCCCCAGGTGCTGATAGGTTGAACTACATAAACAAGGTATGGTAGCTTCTGTTTACGAGTTACTTATCGGAAAACTACATTTTTGCGTCTCAATTATGCCCTCAACAAAAACAAGAAATATAGGATGTACTGAAATAAGATTCGATTTTGCCCGTTCACTGACTATATTACTCTCCAATCCATAATCATGTGTTTTTACAAAGAAAAAGGGTAAACCAGTAGCAGGACAACGCGAGATATAAGTTTCATAAAGTGATACAATGCGTGCTTATTTAAAGGTTCATGTTCGGAAAATGAATACAATAGAAGAGCAATTGAAAAGTTCGGATGAAAATTGTTTAATTATTTGTAAAAGGAGGCCGTCTGCCGCATATTTTTGACTGCTGGTAAAAAATATCTTGGTTCGAAACTATTTCGCCCAGGAGGAGGAGGATGATGGGCAGGGAAACTGTCACTGTGTAACGTGGAACGCCTATCTCCATCCTGCTCCAACGAAGTGGTTGATTATCGAAAATACCCACCACCACCTGCAAGGGACGTCAGCACCTATCTTGCCAAATGTTCCGATATGCCTCTTTGTTTAAGTCTCACTCGCCAGGCGCGGCCCCCGCCAAAGATGTACGGACGCCGTCAACATGCTTTGACCGGGATTCAGGGTGCAACTTGGACCGCAAAGAATAGTTTGTAAGGAATGAGGACGAAGTTTCAGTGCAGTACACGAGCAGCTGTTACATTAAACAGGACTGCTTTCATCCCCTTTGACACAGTGGTGCTAAGGACAGGCCACCACGCTGCATATATAAGTCCTATAGCCTCGTAAAGGAAGTCCTCCTGAACAGAAAACTCCCTTCTAACTGCACTGACATTTCCTTGACGCCTGGACGTTTAAAAAAGTTGCCAAATACGCACACGAGAACTGCCGCGCACCAGATGCCCGGAGTTGTGATTTTCCTCACCCCACCTGTTGCACAAATAACTAACTCAGCCCATCATTTGGTTTTTGTTTGAAGAATAGTGAAAATTCCACAATGACTTATTTATCATACATTGCTAGAGGAACATGTTTCTATGGAAAGAATAAAAGGAGACACAAGGGTTCTAGTTGTTTCACTGTAATAGACTACATGGTTGCCTGTCATCCTTCTGGGCCCCAAGTTTTTGTGAGAGTCTGCTATGTCAGGATCCGCAAACCATGGTCATCGCGGCCTGGTGTGTGCTGTCAGTTGTCTGACACGCGATTCCCAGCCAGGAGAGGGGCATGCGCTCCTGCGGGGTATACAGGTCGTCCGCATGGCTGCTCAGTCATCCTTGTCTTTCTGAACCCTTTTTGTGCTGCTACTGGTTAAAATCCTGGTAGAGTAGAAGCGAAGAGACGAGTCCCAGGAAGCAGTCTTGGAGAAGAAGACACGATCGCCGGGACAAGAGCTTTATTAGCCTGACGCTTCGGATTCCTGCTCGAATCCATCATCAGAGACAAAAGGAGATAAGGGTGGTCCATACATATGCGGCTGCCTCTTCGCACCACTTGGGGTTGGAGTTGCACACAGACCGGAGGCAACCATCGGGCGTCAGCTAGTGAAACCGAAAGACCCACTGCCACGGCAAGAAACGTCTGGAGTCGTTTATCGGATCTGGTGCAGTTGCGGACAAAGCAACTACGTCGGAGAAACCGGAAGACAACTCCAAACGCGAATGGCCGAACACGCTGCAGCGGTGCGGAGAAATGATGGCAGCTCTCAAGTTGCGGCTCATTCGACGGGTTCCGGCCACACATTTAAATTTGACGAGGCCGAAATTCTCGTAAGAGGTGACAACCGCGTGAGCTGGGAGCTGCTTGAGTCATGGTTTACTGGCCCCCAGTCTATTAACAAGTGCAATGAACTTCCCATTCAATACTCCGTGCTAAGACTTCGTTTAGGCGGAGTAATTGGCCACACGGGGAGCGCACAGGTGAACACTTTTAACAACGCCAGGGTCGGTGGGTCAGATGGTCGAGCAATCATCACACCAACATCCAACGCACGTGATAAAATTGCAGCAATTAACGATGCGAATGTCGGCCATCACGCCACGTGCAACGATCCCTGATGAAGGGGGAGGGGGAGCCGTGAATATTCATAGGTATGCGGTAGCATGGCTACTGCATCCTTTAGATACTGCAGCCGCATATGCATGAACCACCCTTATATCCTTTTGTCCCTGATGATGGATTCGAGCAGGAATCCGAAACGTCAGGCTAATAAAGCTCTTGTCCCGGCGATCGTGTCTTCTTCTTCAATCCTGATAGAGTGTTTGTTGTGGACTAGACGGTGTGGTTGTACGCCTGGGTGCGGGCTTGGCCGCGCCAGACACCTGGGCCCTCTCCCGCTTCCGGTCCTCTTGACCATGTGCGGTAGATGCTGCGCAAGTCGCCGCACATGCTCCAGCCTGCTGTGGAGCACACGGTGGACATCGTCGGCATCTATGGTCGAACTGACAATACATCACGGATCTTGAGGAGTTCATTTTTTTCGATTTTAGTCCGTCCACTTGGCAGAGACATGCCAAAATAGCACCTGCCTCGCCCGCAATATTTAACTGCCTCCGTCTTTTTGTAGATGTCTCAAGAATCAAGCAGAAAGAGCAGCGCCGAGACCGCGCCTACTGCGTCGTCCATTGCCTCCCAACAACTTGACACCCCTGGGTTTCCGACACCTGGCAGATCCGTCTATGAAGAGGTTCATGTGGCTCGGCTTCTTCGGGTAAGCCATCGCATGGCTGTAGTGCGGCTTTTTAACCATGCCGGTTTATGTGACATGCCTGGCTCCCTTCCTAAACCTATCTGGAAAAAAGAGAGTAGGAAGCTACTATGATTGATGTGAAATTTTCCGTCCCCTGCTTTTGAGGAAACAGGCAGAGAGAGAGAGAGAGAAGAGTTGTTAGCAGCTGGCGTACTGTGCGCTTCAAAAATGAAAGTTGCTGCAGTGGGTTAGGTTTGTCCAGAGAAAGGATGTCCTGTTGGGTAAAAAGTTAAGCATCCGGTGAGGTAGCTACTGGGGAATCAATCCTCCCAGTTCATCCGCTCATTCCTCACGATGGGCCAAAGTCGGGACTTGGAAGGCTGCCAGATAACGTGCTCCGTCTCAGGACTGAGAGTCAGGCTCAATGGCACTGTATTTAACTGATATTTATGGCACTATCCGAGATCCGAACCGTCTTTACTAAAATCTGGTACGCCTAGTGGAAATCGGGTCGTGTCTGTAGCGCGCGTAGGCGGACTGTTTACATTTGTAATCGCCTGCGCCTGTCTCCGGCCGTTATGACACTGTCTTGCCGTTGAAGCTTGGTGAGTGAGGGAGGAGACTGTTGCGAAAGTCTGTTGTCACTGTAAACTAATTCTCCAGCAGGTCTCCGCCCTATGCCGACATCGTGGGTCATACGTTGGACGTCGTCATCCATGACGGTCGAACTGTCAACGAGGGTACGTTCAGATGTCGCCTGTCTAGAAGACAATCGGTTGGGCTGTACGACCGCCGAGTTTGGAAACTCTCACAGAGCCATAACACACTCAACGGAGAGGTTACAAGCGAACTGACTACTTAGTATACTTTTATAGACAATGAGACTCGATTTGGAATCGTGGAAATAAAATCCCTATCACTGAGGGCTTTAGCACTAGGTTCTAGAAAACGTTTTCCAGTCGGTGCTGAACTCGAATCCTCGTGTTTGAGTGTTTCTTTATTAAAACATTTCCTCTCACTGAAAACTAGAAGTGCGGATAGAAAAGCAAAAAGGAGGTTATCGCCATTTAACCAGCTGCGTAGACCGTAGATTCTCCTTCTAAGGCAGAACGGATGTGTCCATTTCTGCCCTGCAACGAGGAATAGGTTGGTGCACGACCTTTCCATTCGATCAAACTGGATTATCTTTTAGACAGCGGTCACAGCGTCTTCTCAAATGGCTGAATATGTGTGTTCTTCTCATTTTCGATCCCGATTCATGGCCTACTTTTAACAGATATTATGTAAGGTTAATTTTTTTACGCTGCTATATGATTCTCAAAGCAGGATATGCTGAACTGGCTTGGCATATTCTCCCACTCACCTGAAATAGGTCTCCAGGCAGTCTATCATACAGGTGATTTTAGGTCACGTCGGTTTCCTACCATTTTATCACATGGAGTTATGGGAAAGTAAACATCGCCTTCCGATATCTTGGCGATACCTGTCGCCTAATTTTTCCTCGTCTCTTCACACTACCATAGGATTGGAAAAAAACGCATTAGATTTGACATTCAGTCTCGCCTTCTGTTCCGGTTTGCTAAATGGAGTAATCTTGATGTCCGTCTGTGTTTCGGTAAAAGTGGATAATTCATTTGACCCAGCTGTGGAAAACTCGGCGGCCTCGATGGGATTGGAACCCACGACATCAAGGGTAAGGCTTGAGTATAGCCGACTCTCCAGCCGCCTGAACCACGAAGCCTCACCGGGAGACGTGAGTTTAATCGCATGTGTGTCAAGTTATCAGCCCAGCCTACTGCAACGTGTGAAATTTACCATTCCAACACGGTAAGCAAACCTCCAAGGGGGATTTCATGAGCAGTCAAGCTGGAATCCACCAGATGACTACCAGACCTGATGAATTAATTAGTGTTTTGGCAGATTTGAACAATTCACTTGAACCAACTATGAAAAACTGTTTGGGCAGTCACTTTCCTGAATCGGATTTGGTGGATCCCCTATGTTGCAGTATGTTAGGCGGATAACTTGACACATATGTGAGTAAACCCACGTCTCCCGGTGGGACCTCGTAGTTTAGGGGGCTAGAGCGTTGGCTGTATTCCGACCCTGGTCTTGCTATCATGGTTTCGAATCCCAACGAGATAGCCGAGACCTTCACACAGCTGGGTCGAGCGAATTGCTATGCATGTTAGGCGATCGGCCGCACGCCCCCAGGCATCAGTGATTTATCCGAGAACTGCCCCACTTGACGTGGACGAGTCCATTTTAGGTGTTCTGCACGCACTTATTTTAACAGTTAGTGGGTCGCGCATACGCACCGCAGCCCGGTTCTGCAACAAGTGCCTTTCTGGGGAGGGGCAGATGGGGATGGATTCGTTATAAGCCTTTTAAAGCGTCCCGTGAAAGCTTTCCTTTGACCTCATTCTAGCCGATAGTTAATCAGGATTGCTGTATCTTAGGATAACATTTTATTTTACATTTGCACAGGTATGTCTGTAGAGCCGGCTAACCCATTTCTTTTTAACTAACATGTTTTAGACGCAAACTCGTTTGTCCTCTGATAATGCTTATCACCCTCACTTTGGAGTTATTTTTCCATCGGAGTACAAAATCTGGTTCAATAGAGGGACATGGGTTATCGCATAGATATGGGCATCGGTAGGCAGACATGTATAAGTATAAGCATCAAAGTGGGCTTAGGACTATTCTCGAGCATGCAGACGTGGCAGACATTACCATCTCTGCTTAAAGAACCGAGTGGAGTTTTACCAGAAAAATAGGGTAGGACTGTCCATTTCCCAGGAAACTTCATGAATCACCTGGTAATTGACATTCTCAACCAGCTAAATATCCCTGTCATGTGGTCATCATCATCATCATCATCATCATCATCATCATCATCATCATCATCATCATCATCATCATCCAGTCTCTTTAAGCTGGACCTGAGCAAGCGATCATTGTCTTTGCCCACGAGTGGTTCAGGTATTTTCCCTGTGCGCTATCAGAACTTAGTCATTAAAGCTCGAGGATGGGTTGAGGGAATACATACTCGGTATGGATGCTTAAATGTTCAGCTGTCCAACACTGTATTTGCAAGCTAACCGGTCGCTGGTGTCCTTTGAGTTCTGTCATTTCTTTAAGTTCACAAACAAAAACAAAGATTGGTCGTTTGCCAAAGAAAGGAGTCTGCCAGTTCCGCATTTGTGAATACGACCGTTGTTGAACTTTTTAAGCCAGTACTAAAATGGACAACAAGAGCGTTGGAATAACTCATGACTCAGCCACAGGCAACCACCTACGACGGCCACAGATGAGAGCTATGAAGTAAAGCCTAGTGCCCATATATTCCCTGCAGAAATCAGGCTTATTTCGATAAACGCTGTTGTCATGCTACCTTAAAGACTTGGGACTGTGGCCATCAGTGCGTGAGGTCTTTGCTGCGGTCGTATTAACAACTCAACCCAGATTAAAATACCTGCACTACCCGCAGGCCAAGGTTGGGATAGGTTTGGCCGATGGCGGCATCATTATGCATTCTTCTGTGAGGGCTATAGGTTAGAGATTTGCCGTTATCAACTCGTATTCCGGACAAACCCAACCAGTACGTGTCGTTTTCACGCGAGTTTTTTTTCAACTCCTATTCTAGCCTAGAAGAATGGCCTCGAGCCCCCATTTTCAACTCTAGCCGGAAAATCGAGTGGAATTATTTTGGTAAAACGTCTTTGGTGAAGTTTAATAACGGCTGTCTACATTATTATAAATTTTAGGGCAAAAATGGCTTCGGATTTGCAATTATGGACAAGAGCTTTACCAACGAGCCTGGCATTTACATAAAACAACTGGTTGAGAACGGTCCCGCCATGTTGGTAAGTAAATAATTAGCAGATTTTCAAACGCTTAATTTGCCTTAATTGGCTTAAGGCACAGGGATGGTTGTGCTTTCAGATGCCGGCGTATTATTCCCCTCTCAAAAGCAGAATTTCTTTTTCAGAATGGGACACTTAGAGCCGGTGACCGTATCATCCGGGTGGACTGGCACGACGCTTTGCATGCAAACTACGAGTCCGTCCTTGAATGGCTCCGTTCTGCAAAACATCAGGTTAGCTTAGGTTCCTTAATGAGTTGTATTCCAGGGGCAATGTCCCATTAGCCTGGGTCGTCCTCATATCGTGCCTCCCGGACTCTAATGAATCAAAGATAATCAAACTAAGTTTATCGGGGAGAAAAACCTTGTAATAGACTGTTTACGAGGTCCTGCACCCATCTTTGGTGGTGACGCATGGCAAAACACTCAACCGTACTTTTGTAGAATTGTACAAAATAAAAGGTCAAAAGGTCTGAAAGCCTGTGGTAGGCCAGTAGCAGCAAAAACGCTCCTTGCAGCCTGGTATGCGCCGGCAGTTCCCCGACATCTGGTTCCCTGCCGCTAGATGCGCTTGCGCTCCCACTGGGTGCACATGTGGTGGGCATGGCTGCCCAGGCATACTCGTCCTTCTGACCCATGTTGGGATGTTATTGTTGGTCAAGAACCTGGTCATTTACTGTGCGGACCAGGGGGTGGGGAGTGGAACGCCAATGTGCGGGCTCGACCGTGCCATCCGCCTGCGCCCTCCCCCGCCTCCGCTCCTCTTGACAATGTCTTGACACCGGCTCCAGGTGGGGGGAAGGAGGAGAGAGTGCGGTAGACGCTGCACAAGCCTACACTCACTGTAAACTAATTCCCGTGCAAGTCACCATGTCTGTTTCACCTTTCAGTGGAGCATACGGTGGACATGGTCGGCAGCGACGGCCGAATTGTCATCAAACAAAAATAATAGCAGTGCTATGACTGCGTCAGGAGGCACTCCTGTTGCCACAAGGCTTTTGATTATCTTTGAAAAAAATGGCCGATCATGAGGTTGTAACTGCTTCTGCGCCCACCGTCCTAAGTCTCGCCTTGTTTTCTTGTCTTCTTTATTTCAGAGTTCTCCATGGCCTTTTAAACTGTTTATCTTCGTAGTACGAAAACGACTGTGTAATTGAAATACATTGCTTAACGTTGAAATTCGCCATAGCTTGAAACAATTACCCTGCAGTCGTCAGGAGCATGTTTAATGACACGGGCTCCTCTACTCTATGCGTAGCTCTGTTGCCCATCGAAATTTGATTTGGACATTTAACTAGTGCATCCGAGTACTTTGCATAGTGTGTGAAATTTCCAAGCCGAAGGATTAGCTAGGCGCGGTCGGTTTTCTCCAAGCCTTCTATTGGCAGGACTGTTTTCTGTGACGCTCAAATCTCAAGCCTATCTCATGAAACATTGACTGGAATTCCGAGATGTGTTTCCAATTTGAAAAGACTACTTAAATAGGGTTGTAATATTAATTATTATGTCACATAATATCAAGGTATTCCAGTCACGTCAGGATGTCGACTTTCGAATGAGCTTCCTATAAACCGCTGGCATAAGGCATCTTCCGTAGTAAATGGCCACTTACGTAGCATGACTTTTTCGTATTGATTTTTGACACCCCTATAAATTCAGATACATTTCATAGAAAACACGCACAAACATATTCTTTCTTTCACTCATTTGTTGGCAAATTACGTCTTCAAGTTATATACATGAAACAAAAAGAGAATCTTTTGGTTTTAACAAGGTTCTCAATTCCCGAACAATTTTGAACCCGACCTACCGTTACACTTGCATTCGGAGTTTCCGAACTACAAGTTGTATATTTTCCGTGGAATGGAAATCATACGTTTCTATATGCCATTAAAATGAGGAAATATAAGGCCTAAAATTTCTTTACTGGACATGGACCAAGTTGTCTACTTTACAAGCAGCATTAATAAATGTCCTGGCGCGATTCTATACTACTAAACACTTCAAGCTCCTGAAAAATTTCATAATTGGGAACTTTTTTGAAACCGAAAGAGACATTTTCTTAAAGTATAAAATTTGAAGACAGCGTAATATTTCATCAAATGAGTAAAAGATCGAACATTTTCGTACCTGTTTTTTATAAAATATATTTTAATTTACAAGGGTTTTAAAGATCAATAAAAAAATCATGCTACTAAAGTGGCCATTTCTTACGGAATATAGCTTATGCCGGCGGTCGTTAAGGAGTTCATTCGAAGGCCGGCACCGTGAAGTGACTGGAATATCGTAACATTATGCACTGTGATAATTAATACGACAACCTTATTAAGTAATCTCTTCTAATCGGAAACAAATTTCAGAATTTCAGCCGAAATTTAATGACATAGCATATCTACTTCCTATATCATGCGCCGCTATGCGGCTGCTGGTTGGGCTCGAGAGAGAGAGAGCCCGTAAGGCACAACGGAACGAGTGATTTTCGTAAGAACGATCGGTGGGCGCTCCTCTAGCATCCTAAATAAATATATATGATCAATTAGCGACCTCTCCCCCCCATCATATTTAATGGTCTCAGTCGCAACCGACAGGATAGCGGGCTTGTGGCTCAAGTGTAGGGCGCTGTGTTTGATGTCCGCTAACTGGGGAGCTCGGTTTGAATACCAAGTTATCCAAGCCTGGGTTTGGGCATGGCTCTTTGACGACTGCTAATAAGTCAGAAATGGCCGTCCTGCCCTGCCTTGCCTTGGCACACCTGCGGCCCGGTCTCGCTACTTGTTGTTTAGAAGTCTAACGCCTCTAACCACTGAGCTACGGACTCGTTGTCCTGTCGGTTGCGATCGGGAATGTACAATGGTGGAGGGGCGCTCACCGATCACTTTTGCGGAACTCACTTGTCCAGCCGTGAATACGGGCTCTCTCTCGAGCCCAACCAGCAGCCGCACAGCGGCGCATGCTATAGGTAGAATAGCATCGAAACGATTCTATCAAGACGGATTAGGCTAATTTCGATGTAACTGCCACATACAAAATCGTTAAGGGCGAGTTCAAACTGGCGCAACCAATCTGGGAGAGGTGATAAACTGCAATTAACACGCATCGACACAGACGTTAACCAATCATAGAATCTTTCGTTAGACTCAGATAAGAATTTAATTGTTTTTGCACGCTCAATCTGACGACGAGCTGGGCGACCAGTCCCGAAAATTTACGCAATGAAAGTTACAGTTTCCCCAAGAACTCCCTCTTCCTAATTAAATATATATATATATATATATATATATATATATATATGTTCAGTAGATGTGATAGCTCTTGAGATGTCACAAGTTATTTCAAAAAAATCCCTATTACGCAAACCTCCCTCCCACGCCGCGTTCCCCAAAATCATACAGTAGTGAATAAACGGCCGTGCCTAAAAGAAACAGGAATATTTGGCTTTACACATATTTGCTAACTAATTAAAAAGGTGCATAAGAAAGTGAGACGCACAAAAATTGAAAAATAGCCAAAAGCAGTAGCAAATACAAAGAAACGCTACTTTTTTAATTGTTCATTAGCATTGAATACAACAGAAAGTCTTTCAGAAATGGAGATGGCTGAGCGGATTGTTCAGTGTGATTATCTAGCACATAATCAAGCTTTTCCGGCATTGAAAAATTCTTCTTCGCCCTGCACAAAAACACTTCCGACAACGTTAAAATTCGGACTTTTGGTAGGGGTAAAAATCTACTGGAGGCCACATGCAGAGAGGCTAGTTGTTTGCCTCACAAGTCTTATCTCATTAACATTCACTAATCTAAGAGCCCTGGCACGGCCTCTAGAAAGACTTACAACAGATTTTCTATATCTCTTTCAAAAAAATCGCAGGTTCGCATTGTTGTCTCCCGTGTGCGCCTTGGGAGCCGTACACAGATGCCGTCCGACGATACAGCCCTCAAGCTGGGTCTGCGAAAACGTCTATCTGTTCCGGCGTTATCCTCCCTACTAAGTGCTTTCATTCATCACTCCAGCAAGAAGACTTCTATGCAAAGCACATCTTCCGGCGAACCCTCCCTGGTCTCAAACTCCCTAGGTAAATTTCTACGCGCGCGCTCGCGCGCACACAGCAGTAGCGAGAACTTTCGCTCCTGCCCTATTTACCTCCGCCAAACTCCTTTATTCCTTTCCATTCTCAGGCTTTTAAAATCCCCCCCCCCACTTTCCGTGACCTTTCTCCGTAGGCGACGAAATGCCGCCAAAGAAGTTGGACCTCCTGTCACCAGATATCGTATCGCTTGACCTGAGGCGGGCCAGCTGTCCGGAGCAGTTTGCGCCAGGATTCGCAAAGAAACTGGCCGGGCGCAGCTTCCTCGGCGTCGTGCCGATGGCCAGTCTGACACAACTGGCCGACCCACCCCTCATCGTGTCTCCCCTAGGCTCTGGCCATGGGCGAGGCGGCGGCGGTGGCGGTGGCGGTGGTGGCGACGGTTCTGGTAGCAAGCTGTGCGCAGACGCCACCAGGTGGGGCGGCATTTCCGCTGCACGCAATGCACCCAAAAACACCGCAGCCCGTCGTCCAATTTTACCGGGGCAGGAAAATTACATAGAAATTGCCCGCAATCTTGCGCCCGGTCTTGGGGTATCCCTCATTGGCGGCTTCGAGACTTCTCTGGTAAGTGGTTTGGCCCGACTTTTTTGCACAGGAAAGCATGCATTAAGGGAAGTGTCTTTGGCGACTTCATCTCGTGACTTGGCGAGCAGTTCGGTGCATACCCTTTTTGTGTTCGAGCACAGGCCAGACCTTAGCGGCAAACATGGCTCGTAGAAGGGCGTCAGACGTGGTATAGAATAGCCAAATTTCGAACTCATCCTGCTGGGATTGTGATGGACTTGTTTCTGTGTCGAAAGAATGTGCTTAACTAGATGAAAAGCGGTAAAAATATGAATCCTGAACACGTTTAGCATGGTAGATGCCAGTAACTTCCGATTTCTTTTCGCCTGTTCAACAACTAGTATCCCGTTGCTTCTGTAATATTCCGCCCTCCGCAGTTTTCCTAACTGGTTAGTTTCTCTCAGCAAAAGTTCACGAAATTTTCTTGAAAGTCTCGCATAACTCTTTTTTGCTTCTCTCAAATGCTACAGAGTTTTAGAGTAGGTCCTTGAGGGGGATTAGACCTTTAAACTGTAGTGATCGGAACGATTTTATTAAGACAGATTAGTCGAACTTTGAAAGTTTCAATAGTCAGAACATGTATGCAGGTTTTAATATCTCCCACTGCACAACTGAATAACCTTTTTAGAGTCACCACGAGTCGAAACCAATTTGTCATTAACTGGACGCAAAAGCACGCAGCCGGCCACAAAAATTGCGACGAAACAGTTTACCTTAAAACGCCGACACACCCAGTGACCACACTCTCTCTCCTTCCTCACCCATCTGACTCCGCTAACTTGTAGGCCAGCCATTAAGTATCTACTTCAGTACGACCCTTTAGGTACAAAAACCTCCCCTGCAAAGATACCATCAAGATAAAATAATGATAATCCAGATGACAGGAAAACCATTTGCAAGACTGCAGAGCCTTGCCAATGAGGAAAACCGCCTAGGGCGGCTAGGCGATGGCACTACCGACAAGCAGTCTAACGTCAGCAACCTTTGCCTTTAGTCATTGCCGCCGCGTCCAAATTCCAGACTTGCCGATAAGTCGGAAATGTCCAATCTAGCCTCTCGTCCCTTGTTGTCTCTATTTCCAGGCCCATCAGTGCATATCTTGCAAAATTTGCGTGACCAGTCAGAGGCCTTCCGCCTTAACGTAATTACCGAGGCTGCTCACAAATATAATGTGTTGAGCGCCGGAAAATGAACCCCGCACGTTATAGCTGGCCTTACCCCAAATTCCAGAGGGAAGTTGGCGTTTAGGTAAAGGTTAGCAGGGTTAGGATTAGGGCGATGGATAGAGTTATGGTCAAGCTTAGGACACGGAATAGGAACCCCCACGCAAGTCATCGGTGCCACGACGGTGAGTATGGTCGCTTCTGACGCTCGAACGGTCGTCATAGTTAGCAGATCTCTTTGTTTCCGATTTGGCCGTGAGAATAGGGCAACAGCGACTACTTTTGCTTATTCTACCCTTTTCAATCTACCTCGATATTGCTAACTTGGTCGCTTTGACATCTGGCAGGTGGTTGATTGTTCATGGTGCTTAGCACCAGATAATGGAGCCAGTTTGGCATGGGACGCTAGTTCGATCAATGTTCATAGATACCAATGCGAATACCAGTTCTAACCAGCCGAAGTAAAGTTGCAATTAGACGGAACTAAATCTAGTTAGTTCATATTTGCCCTCTCGAAGTCCAGTTAAGACTTCGAACGCCATTCTCCTCTGAGCCTGAGTAAAGTCTATATAAGGGTAGTATAAAAATGCATAATAATATTCGCACGGAACGAATACCGCAGCTCTCTGGTGCAGTGGTTGCATGCGAACTTCCGCGGCATCTGTCCTCCCGCTATTCCAACTCCCACAATGTCCCACTAGTAAGGCGATGCGAAGACAACTCAATACGGACGTGGGTGCAATGAGTGTACCGTAAAGGCCACACCAGGAAGGAGCCACTACAAGTTGTCCTTCTGTGTGGCGAACCTACTTATCGCATCAGTTGGCAACCCAACAAACCACGACTTGTCCGTCTGAATGCACGTCTTGTTGTTTATGGTGCAGCAGCTGAGCGCTGAATGCAAACTGTCACGACCTCACCTCTTCTCTCCCCGCGTCAGGGGTAAGTGCGTGTCAAACAGAGTGGCGATAAGATGATGTATGCATAATTGGCGACTTTTAAGTAAACACTGTCGTCTATGCACACACGCGAGCTAACACGGGCGCGTGGATGTGTGGGGACAGTGCAGAGCGCACCTGACTGGCGTTAGCGGGAACCGTAGTCTCGCCCGCATTCACAGACGGGCACCCCATTACAAGGCGGGACGTTGCTTTGCGAGAGATCAAGATTTTCTGGTTTTATTCCGCCGTTAGTTACGTCTTGTTTGCCGCAGTGCATGCCCCATCGCATGTATTGCGACAACGCGGAGATGAATAAGGGTTTGTGTCTGCTTGGACAGCATTTGGTTTTGTGGAATTCAGATTTTTCCACCGGTCTCTTTCAGGGCGTTCTGCAGATCCACGAAATTTTTCCTGAGGGTGTTCTTGCAAAGGACGGCCGCTTGCAGCCCGGAGACCGTATCATTGCTGTCAACCATCAACGCCTGTCCAAGATGTCCTTTGAGAACGCCGTCAGTACCATTGTGCACGCCTTCTCTGGCCTCCAGCCCGTTGCCAGTGATGCAGACCTGGCGACCTTAGCAACCAGAACAGCGACGTCGCCCAACAACAGCAACAACCCCGGCAGTCGGGGTGACTCCTACGTCAGTCTGGTCGTGGAAAGGCCGGCTGGCGTACAGACCAAGTGGTATGACCAGGAGGTTACAGTGGACCTTCTGAAGCGACCTGGCCGCGGTCTCGGCATCTGCATCGTTGAGCGCACAGGTCCAGTGTCGAGGACTGCGCAGGCAATCGGCGGCGGCGGCGGCGGTGTTTGTGATGGTCAAGCGAACATCGCCACTGGTGCCGCAGCGGACTCTGAAAAACCCGCTATCGCACCACCGCAAAACGGACTAACTTCCGGTAGCAGGGCAGGGGGAGATCAAGCTGGGCCGAACGAAACCACCTCTCTGGGAGTCATTATTTCTGACTTGGTGAGTAGCATGCCCCTTAATCATGCAGCTGGTGAAGCGGTTGGATGGGTTTATTTAATTGAAGCAATAAGCTAAGTAGGGCTTTTATTTTAAAGCAGGTTGCGGGGACCACTAAACTTGCACGGGGAGAAAACATGCATTGCTTTTTGGTGCCTTTATAAATTCGGGCGTATTCTGTAAAAATATTCATGGAAATATCCTTTCTTATACTCATTGGGTGGTAAATTACGTCTTCTGCTAATTTTTTACCCAAGATATGGTATGCTTCGGTTTAAACATGTTTGTAATTATGTTGTCAGTTCACTAATGCTGCTTATGCAGAATACAACTGGGTCCAAGTCCACTTGAACATTTTATGAGCCGTATATGTTGTCTTATTAATAGCGTAGAAGAGTGTATGATTCTACCTGCATAAAATGTTCTCAGCTTGTGCTTCGGAAGCCCTAAACGCAAGTGCAACGACGGGTCGTGATCAAAATTACTCGGGAAGTTGAAGCTTTTTTCAAACTGAAATATGTGATTTACTACCAAATGAGAGCGAAAAAGAATATTTTTCTGAGTGCGTCGTATAAAATATGTTTGAATTTAGAAGGATATAGAAAATTAATGGAAAAGTGCATATTTCATAAGTAGTCAGTGCATTGTCGAGTTTGGTTTTCCCATGGCCGATAATAGGCGCATCCAGAAGCCGGCAACCTGCTGTGGATGAAGGGTCTTGGTATCACTGTTACAACCCTACCTAAGTGAACCTTACTAATCAAAATTCCCACTTCTAAATTTTGGTTTAAATTCCATGAGATACGCCACCTACTGTTGGCCAATTTCGTCATTGTTTCCGGAGCCGGTAGAACAGCTGCCCGCTCGAAGATTCGTAGGCAATATAATATCACGCAGCGGGCGGGCGTGGCGCCATGGCCGAGTCGGCAGAGAGCACCCGATGCGAATTGGGGTGGTCTACGGCCTACCTCCATCGGGCAACGCAAGCTGTTCGGGTGTTCAAGTCCCTACTTCCTTCAAAATGTTCCACAGTTAATCTCACAGCTGCAGCTGGTAAAACGCAAACTGCTTCACCTTTGTGGCCCTACAACAGAAACCAGGGTTGACTTCGTTTGGACACTGGCCTAAGAAGAGGGGATAACTAATTCACCCGCTTAGTTTTCAAACGGATTTTTTCCTCCTTTTTTCAGACGTCATCCCCGGTCATTCATCGGTCAGCAGAGGTGACGGCATGTTACGCGACGAAAATAGCATGCAGCATTAGTCATACACATAGCTTTAACAGTTTAACCACAGTACTCGGACAAGTCGTGTTACGCCGGAAGTGTTTTTGGGTGTCTCCTTCTCTGATGGCTGTGGTTCTCTGGTCTGTGGGAGCTGAAGAGTTTACTTCATTAATCTTTGGTTTATTGCAATCGCTTTCAGCCAAACAGATGGCTAGGGACAAATAGCATTCACACGTCGTGGTTAAGGCTCAGAAGGCTACGATCGATAATTCCAAGTTGTGAATTCGACGGGGAGCGAAGTAGGACAGGGCAACGGGCTCGTGGCCCGGTGAGTAGAGGCGTTGACTTCTAAACCAACAGGTCGCGAGTTCGAGGCTCGGGTGTTCCACACTTCGGGCTTGGGTATGGCTGGCTGACGACGGCTAATAAGCCAGAAATGGCCACTCCAGTCTCCCTTGTCTTTGTCGGTAATATCATTCTGCCTACAGGAACTGGTCTCTGCAATGCGCACTGTGTTGTTTTATAGGCGATCCAATCAACTGCATCACGGCGTTGGTTGACAGGCTCGGGAATGGTGCATAGGAGAGGGAAGAGGGAGAGCGAGATCGACTCCAGGGACTCCATTCCCCTGGCACATCGATGCATTCCTCATCATAGCAAATCTGACGCACTTTGAAACTTGCCATAAACTATGGCATGGCATAAGGCATAACTATGTCCTCTTCGCCAGCACTGTGTCTGCCTAGAGTGGCTGACTGAAGCACTAAAAGTCAGGCTCACTGCCTCCTTCTTCTTATTGGGCTTCCGACGCCCACGCGTGTACCACCCTATCCGCCGCCGTTAAGACTTAATGTTTTTGGTGAGCATTGGATCGTGCGTGGCACGCGTAGACGGGCCGTCTAACATTGTCAGCCCTCTCGCCCTAGCTAGCCATTGGCCGTACTGACTCTGTTTTACCACCGAGCCCATGTGGATAAGGGGCGAGAGAGTGTGACAGAAGGTGCGTAAGTTTGCTACCTTTATGAACTTTTTCACATGCAAGTCACTGCTCTTTTTGCACCGTGCAATGGGACGGAGTGAAATGAATAAGACCTCGCCATTTCAGCTTCTGCATGGAAGCAGTGGCCCTGTCGCTCACAAAAGGGTCTCACTTTTGCCGAACTTTGACGTTCTGCTAGGATGCGAATTATGCCTAAGAACGAGCCATCTCACCGGGACGCTTATTTAAATCCCACTGCGCTCGAATGAGTTGCGGAAAAACAGCCGCCTCCGGCACGAAGGTCAGAAAGCTTCAGGTTGGGTAGTGAGGGCAGGGCTGGAGCCAAACTGTTTTGCCCTGCCGTGGATCAAAGGGATCTCTGAGGCCACGACACGACGGTCAGTGGATTTTAGCGAATTGGGCACATGTGCTAATGCTATCCTTGGGGCCAACACTGCCAGGCGTCAGTTATCTCATACAAAAAGATCGCTGAGGTACTTTTCGCCTGTAGTTACGTTCCTACCTATCACGCACATATGGCTGCCATGTGAATGGCCTAAATGACCGCAAAGAGGATGTTCGCGGACACGCGAACTAAACTCCCGGTCATTTCATTCCACGACGGGCTGTCGCCTGCACCTCGAAAATTCACCAGCAGATGTATCTGGCTCCGAGGAACGTTCACTTCCTTGCGTCATCTTAGGAAGCCGAATTTCAAGATTCAAATCATTTTCCGTGTGAAGGATGACCCGCAGCAAAAGAACGCTTTTACCCGGGAAACCATTAATCTGTTAAACGCCATCCATCTCTCCCATGCAAGTGCCCGAAACTTGCTGGGCTAGTCGGCTATCCAAACTATTTCCTAGTTTGTTTTTTATTACTTCCTTCTACTCTCTGTGGGCTTTGCAAATGCCCATCAGTTGGCCGCAAATTACTGAAGCCATAAGCATCCATTTTGTGGAATATGATGCTGTCTCACCCATCTTGTTAAATCGCATCTGACAGCCACGGTGTCGAATAGGAAAACAAGTGTCATGAATAGCCGAGTGGACAGGGGGCTGATTCAGGGGGAAAATTGCTTTCTACCTCAGACATAAGCTGTGAAGCTAGAAGCAAATGCAACCATTCGTCAGTGTAACTGATCGGGCAGGTGAGAAACCCGGTCGGACACGGGAATATGAACCCTCCTCACGTTAAATTCCCGGGTGATACCTATTCACCTGTCCTAAATTTAACTCCAACCCTAACCCTCCTACTCGCCCCCCCTGGAATTTAAGCCAAGACCGCCTGTAATACGGGGGTCCACATTTCGATGCCCAACCAAAAAACGTTTGTGAATTGGATGCTGTAAGTTTAAGCAGACAGGAGGATTGCGAATGAAAGGTTGAAAAGGCGCCTGAATGTGGCCGAAGCTGCCGTAATAGGCGTTTCCTTTATTCCGGTTTTTTCTTGGGTGCTTAGGCCTTATGCATTCAACATGTCCCGCCCAAGCCAGGACAGTAATTCTGCGTGTGCATGGCCACTGTGTCAACTGTTTAATTAATACAACCATTTGCAAGATTCCATTACCTCAAGAGAAAGCTCCCAACTCCTGCGTTAAAAATCTTCTGACAATCTTACATTTAGCAGTGGGCCGTGAGCCCCCGATACAGGCGTGGACAACAGTATGGCAGAAATATCGGCTGCCAGTGTAACGACACGTGCCGCCTTTTCCGACAGTTAGAGAGGAGATCCTGCTAAATAACGCATGCAATGGGTGCTTGATTGGAGGAGAGAATACAGGCCGTTAGTTGTGCTTCAAAGAAACCGAAACTGCCTGTTCTATTCTGCCCACCGGTAAATGCCGTTCCCATCCCCACCCCTTTCCCTCACCAGTTTGTGTAGACCTGATCGTAACCGAGAGCGAGTAGGACACTCACAACCGGGGCGACGGCTGGAGCATAAAACTTGTTGGTGTGTGAATGAACAGACGTTACATTTGCCGTTTGATCGGCATTGTGTTTTTTTGCAACAAAAGCCGCACTGGGGACAGGTCAAAAGGACTCAAAGTAACCCAAATTGAGCCAAACATGACATTAAAAAATGCTTGCGAGTCATGGCCAGCCGAGCAGCAGGACTTGTTACAATTAAGTCATTACGTAACAACGTGCCAGTTTTTTTTCTGGACGACGTCCACTTCTGCCCTCTCTCTCTCTTTCCCTCCTGGGTCAGGACAGATCGGCGAACGCCGTTATAGTGCGATTTTTTGTCGTCGAAACGCCTAGCACAATGACCTAATTATTGGGCCTTTACATCAGATGACCGATGACCAAACGGCCATGCTTTGTGCGCCAAAACTGCCGGACCTGAGAATAACGTATGGTTAGCCGATCACGTCACATGTGCCGGCAGTAGTCGCTTCATCCACCATAATTGTTGTCAGCAAAACTCTCCAAGAACAATTAGCAAGAATCTAGGAATATAAAAATAGTTAGAATGGCTGACATCATTTCCACTCCATGCATTGACAGGTCAGTTGCGGCAAACGACAAGAGTTGAAGGGTAAGCTCGGATTTGTTGAGGAAGATTGATCAGTTGTATTCTCGTTAGCCAAGCACTTCTTCCTTTCCTGTTTAATTTCGCACTAGCCTTCTCCAACTCCGCCCAAGCTTTCGCCGTTTTTTTTTTAAATTTTCAGCCCGCACTTCGTGAAATAAATGCGTTTCTTGTATGTAGGCTGCACTCAGCATCACCTCCATGGTGAACGGCTTTCAAGATGCTGAGAAATCGTGAGAAGTAAAACGAGTGGACGAACAATAAACACCTAAAACTTTCAGCAAATTTCACACTGTGTGACGGCTTCAGTATTGGCTTTGATGTTGCCATTACTGTATGGCTGTTGGAGACCGATTGTTTTCATCAAGTATGGAATCGTGGTTTTGTAAGAATAATGTGATTTTGTTAAGCGTTGCCTTTCTTTGTGCACCTAGCCCATCCAAATGACGGAAGTCCGGATAATTGAGGGTAGTGGGATCACGGCCTCCCACACAGTAAATCCTGGTGATACAGTGATAGCAGTGGGCAATTTCAATCTTATTCTCATATTTCGGTCAACCATAGTCTACCGAAAACCCAAAAAACCTCGAGTTGAAGCCGTGGTATTTGCGGATATCCAATTTTGCAACCAGTATCTTATCTGCTGATAGCAAATTCATGACTAAATATCTAAAGATTTGGAACTGGATTGGACTCTGCAATCCAATGACACTTAGTCGGTAGTGCTAGTAATTATTTGGTGTGGTACTTTACGCACGAAAAAACGGTATGTACCCGACCTCACTATTTTATTTTAAATTCATGCTCACGGATTAATTTTTTACCGACACTTATTATGCTTGTATTTTCATCAAAAAAAGTAACCTGATCATTTAATTTTAGATAAAAGGCAGCATCGCACACACGGACGGTCGAATAATGCTCGGTGATCAAATTCTCTCCATTAACGATATCGACGTACAAAACAGTTCTCAGGAGGAAGTCGCTACACTTCTTAAGGTACTAATTTTTATATGGGCAACTCATATCAAGACCACGGACGCGTTTTCGAAAATTCCATCAAGATGAAACACCAGTCATGCTGGAATTAGATTCCCTCTTCTAAATTTTTAGCAGAAGTTTTTTTTTATTTGATTGAAGTTGAAAAACAATTCTGTTTGGGCCAACAGTGCTCAGATCTGCTCGGTGTAAGACTCTGACTCTGAGTATTGTTCCCTAGAGACCCCGCGATGCTCATACCAACGGGTGCCATTCCCTCTAAAATAGCTTTACAGAGCAATTGGCCTTCTCTTCTTCAGCCATTTCGCTGACATTGCAAAAAAACTAAGACAGTTCAGACAGTCAAAGGATGCAGTTAGTTCCGAGTCACTGGTCCGTTCAGGATGGGCATGTTAGTGTGGCCCTCGGGTTGATTCTATTCCTAGTATTTGCGCTAGCTTGCGCGCCACCGTCCTCCCACTCCATCTTCTTTCTTCCTCTTTTTCAGGCAGCACAAGGAAAGATTACACTGCGACTTGGTCGGCTAAAGAACCAGACCCGTCTGCTCAGCGCGGCATCGGCGTTTGTGTGCTGCCAACGGCAGTTGAAGAAGGACGCTAGTTGATGCAAAAGAGAGGTACGGTGGTAGTCGGTTTTGTTAGTGCACACCTCCTCCCCCTACCTCCTAAGCGAGATTTACAAGCAGTAAAAAACCTACAACGAACGCATTTCTTAGGCTGTGTTCTCCGTGAGAAAGTGACACCTCAAGGCTCTCTAGACTCACGGGGTTTCCTCAAAATACTCTTTAGCAATGCCCTTGGTCTGTTAGATCGAGAAACTTGGTATGTAAGCTAGGTAAGAAGTCGGTTGAGCTGAAAAGAAGCGCGGGAATGCGATACATCCTCAGTTAGGGTACTTTCCTCGGCAAATGTGGGTTCTTGCCAGACTGCTGTTTATAAGACTGTGTTCCTACTTAATACCAAATTCTGTCCTTTAGGGCAGTGATTTCACAGAGTTGAGGGTATCGTAAAATATAAGTGCCGGTTCGGTCGACGGGTTCTCCAAGACCTGAGGTTGGGGGGACTGGCTGATGACGGCTAATAAGCCAGAAATGGTCATCCCAATTTCCCGTGTTTTTGTCTGTAATCACATTCTACTTCAAAATATATTCCGGAAGGCGAGCTCTCATTAGAAAAAACGAGTTATAGTTAGTATGTCATATTACACCTCCAGTTATGCCTTGTGATCGGACTTTTCCACGTCTCACGGCCAAATCGCACTTTACACGTGAAAAAAATTACTACGAAATATGACAGATGAAGTATCATGTCCTCCAGCAAAATTATGGTTGTGTAATCTCCTCTGAGTTCGGCTTGTCTTAGAGGAGCGCGGTGTATTTTTGAATTTTTACCTGTTGCAGACTCTATGGATTTAAATACCGATTATCGTATCACTTCGATCAACCAACAGTATACAACTGGAATAACCGTCACTACTTACGTAATCAATTAACAAATTCAATATCTGCCTCATTACCAGTCCCCCAAGACATTTTTAAAACGGCACCGAGATATTCACTTACTATTTGTAAATGTAGATGTTGGTGTAGATGTTCTGACCTTGGACTTTTAATGGAGCTCATAATTGCCTGACTGTTTAAGATCAAATTTTGTCCGCTGAGGAATTTTCATTCAAAGCCTTTTACAGTTACATTTGTTCGAGAAAGTGCTTGACTCACATTTTACTCCTTTTTAGTTCATAAGCCGTTGCCAGTTCCCATTCATTGGCATAATTCGAATTTCGTCAGCTAATAGCATGTTAGATTATACCATGGGCCTTACGAGAAATGTAAGCAGAGCCAGTAGAGTGGTAAAACCCACGTATGTGAGTCATACGGCCACACAATACTGGTGGTTGGTTTTTTTTACCTGGTGTTGTGAAGTTGAGTCAGTGGCCGATCTCACGAAACTTTAATCAAAATCCTAAGTTGTGTTTTCAATTGTGAAGGATTACTTAAGCTTTTCGTACAGCATAATCCCAAGATATCTCAGTCACATGAGGCTGCCGGTTGTTTAAAACTCTTCTTTTCGGTCGGCTGCGAAAACCGCACTCGGTAAAAAAATGACTAATCAAGTAGCGCATGCAAGTGTTAGTATGCATTTTCCGTTGATTTTCGATGCCCCAATAAGTCCAAATATATTTTACAGAAAACACGATCGAGAATAGGCTTACCCTGTACTCACCCCGCTGCGAATCTCGTCTCCTTCAAAGCTGATACTTAAAGATTATGTATCTTTTGGTTTTATAAAGTTTGTAATTATGACATTTTCTATGACCTCGAAATTTCCAATCATAAAACATTATATTTGCCCGTATGTTAATTCCGTTTATCTAGTATACAACATGGTCCACATAGATGAATAAATCGTATGAATCCCATATAGTGTTCTCTGACCGACTTAGAAGAATGTGTGATCGTTCTTATATGGAAAGTATACGGTTTCTGGACTACGAACCCTAGACGCAAATGCAAAGGCAGGTCGGACTCAGAGTTAGTATGGAATTGTAAAGATTTTAAAACCGATATATACCCTATCCTTGAATTTCAAATCTGAAGAAAACGAGGTTTACTGCCCAGTGAGTATAAGAGAGCTTAGTTTTGACCGCGATTTCCATTATACATATTTGAATCAATAAGATCATCAAAAATAAACAGAAACAATCACACCACCTAACTTGTCATTTCTATCAAGTGCGGGGTTGACGTGTGGCGGGAAAAGAAATGTATCAAGAACCCGGCATTTCGGCGCATCTGGAGTATCTCTCGGGATTATGCTGCATAATAATTAATAGCACAACCCTAATTAAGTAACACGTTCTAAATGAAGGCACATTCCAGGATTCCGATTAACATTTCAGGTATTATCAGCAAAAAAAACAGAAACACCGAACAGGCAGCGTTTAGCTGATTTGTCGTCAACAGTCAGTGCTGCCCACCATTCGGTTGACTGGATATCCTCGAGGACCTGAGCTCGCAGCGCAGGAAGGTTAGGGTGTTGCTCGATGATTAATTGACTGTTCGGGCGTGCGACCTGGGTTTGTGCTACTGCTGCTGAATGACGACAAATAAGTCAGATCTGGGCATTTCACTGTCTCAGTCTTTGTCGATAGGACGGCTATATTGCAGTTGGGGGACGGCGACCTTAAACCTAATCCTAACCTTGGCCCTAATCCTAACCTTAGCCCTAACCTTAACCTTAGACGTTAACCGTTAACCCTAACGGAAACCATTAACCGGTACCCTAATCCTAACCTCGAACGTAAAACGTAAGCCAAATGCGTCAGATGTGATTATGTAGCCCCACAAAAATACGCCAATAAAAGAAACCTCAGCCACCGAGAGTACGGGGCCTGGCTATCAACTGCGATGTAGTCGATAAAACTACTGCATGGGGTGATTGACAGTCGCCATGCGATCGCCGGCGTGGACTCGCAGAGCCAAGGGAAGACGCAGATGTGCCCTTCCGTTCTGCAAACAGGATAGATGGCAGCAAACCAGTCGACTGTAACATGTGATTTATTTCCTTTGGCCGAAAAAAGGTGAAACGATTGTCTGTATAAAACGGTGATTGACGCTGGTGGTGGTGGTGGTGGTGGTGGTGGTGGTGGTGGTGGTGGTGGTGGTGGTGGTGGTGGTGGTGGTGGTGCAGACGTGTGGTTTTCTCTGCAGTCGACTCCATTCTGCTCATGTGTTTGCGTTAATATTAGGAGCGGACCCTATAAGTCTGCACATCACTTTTACTTCAGGTTGATTCAGTGATTTCAATACAGTTTTTTGCTTTTCTTTTCCAGTTTCATTAAGTATATTATGGGACGAAGGGTGGGAGCTACTTCTTGGATGTACAGTCGCCAGGACCACAACTGCTCAATGATGGGAATCAGCTGTGCCACTTTTTCTATCATCATCATCTCTTGGAGCTTTCAACTATTCCAGATTTCAAATTGTATTTTCTCATATATTTATATAAAAGCGTATTGTAGATTAAATCTTCTTTCTGTCGTAGCTTGTGGTTCCACCTCTTTCTAGGGAGCAGTGATCAATGAAGTCGGAGATAATGTGTTTTACTTCTACTTGAGACAGTGCGATCCTTCGTTGTCAGTGGGTTAGCTAACAACCATCGGCGACTCACCCCGACTTGGGAGAAAAAATCTTAGATCTCTCCACTAGACACCTCGGCTTAACCAACCGTTTACGACTCCGATCCACTGGTGGAGTTCTTATTGGCAACTCTTGTTTTACAGTAAGATCAGAGTTTAAGTGTCCGATAGTCCACGCCCATATGCGATGTGGTACTGTGCTTGTGCGTAAAAAGAGTCGGTATTGCCTTCCAGAGGACGCTAGTGCAGCCAAAATGATATAAACGAGTTCCGTTTATTGATAGTGTTATACCGATTTGGGATAGGATGTAGAGAATGAGGCTGGTTAGACTTTGTCCACAAATTGAAAGTGATCGAGTGCTCTGAGGAAGTCAAAACTACCTGACGTAGGAAATTCCCAGGACGATTTTTTTAGCTGCTTCCTATAACTGGTTACATGGTACACCTACCGCAGGGAAACACGGCGATCATTCGAGAAAATTGAAGACGTAAGCGCTCAGTTAGACCATTAAATAAGGAGTTTAAAAGAAGAAAATAGAATAGGAGCAGAACTTCCATAGAGCCCTTGATGACAGACAGTGATGTGAACGGAAGGGCTAGCAAGTAGGATGGTAGGGTCAGTTGCGCAAGAGAGCGCAATCTCGTGGAGGGAGGTTCATCGCTCCACTCTGATTGCGACATTGAAATGTGAGTCTCCGCTTTGCCTTGGTCGTCCACGGCAGGACTGACTTACGTGGCCCCCCAGGCGGGAGATGGCGATAGGAACCTCCTGGAATACGAGTGGCCTCGAGCCAACTTCCAGTGAAACAGGGGTCAGGTTTAAAGTTGGGCTTATGGTTAACTGAAGGATTCGGTTTAAGGCTAGTTTTAAAGTTCTCGGTGAGGTGGTTCAGGATTAGGTTTAGTGTTGAAATAACAGTTAGTGTCAGTTGCAGAGTTCAGGTTTAGGGCAGGGTTAGGGTCAAGACTAAGGCAGTGGTTTAGTTTTATACTGCGGTTATTGTTGGGTTAGGACATGGAAGTATTTCGCCTTCTCTGGAATTGTGCGCAGATCCATCTTTATTACACGGGCAGGACGCTCCCAATCCCATATCCTGTTTAGGAGCCATATAAGCCAGTCCTACCGACCTCAAAGGCACCCGTATACTAACGAACAATCACTAGACGTCGCCGACAAAAACAAGAAAAAAAGTGGAATGACCATTTCTGGCTTACTTGCTATTATTAGCCAGATGTATCTCAAGTTCTATATAAGGAAACCCGGGGGCCGGATCCCGGATTCTTTGGGACAGCAGATGACCAAAGGCATCCTACCAAGACGCTGCCACCGAATAGTCAAAGATGGATGGATAGATCGGGAGCAGTGTACAGGAGAGCTGCTAGATTGGCGGCGTACGATGTTGCAGTCTCAGTGAAGGTATTTAACTAAAATGCCAACGAAGTTGTTTCAGTCCATAGTGGGCATATGGCTGTTGATACAGGCGAAAAGGCGAGTTCCAGGAAGCATTTCGGAAATATACGCGACCGTCGGACCAGCAGTTTTACTCGCCCGACGTTTAGGGTTCAAGCTCAAATACAACATACATAAGAGTAGTGTTTGCAAAACTGTTGCTTTGCTTATAGGATGTAGTTGTTGATGGTTCATATTAGTACAATGGCCTGACGGAGCGCGGTCGAGCCGTCTCTGGCCGTCGTTTCATCGCTCGTGTACATTATTGATGTGACAATTAATCGGACATTTGACTTACCAATAGTAGCACTGTAACCATCGTTGGCCTGCGCGTTCCCGCGTGGCTAATTAATCTGTCCAATCAGAGTCTCAGCGAAGAAGATGTAGCGAGAACACTGATGGAAACATATCCTTTATTTGACGCAGTTTCTGATGGCGGTTTACAGCGTGAATCCTAAATGTCCGGCGGATAAAACCCTTGCTGATGCTGTCACGTCCCCTTATTCCCGACCCTGTGTCTATCTGATGAGAAGAAGTAGCCGAAAATGTTCACTCCAATACCGCCTGGCCTATGGAGACATTTCTTGATTACTTGGCGCTCATGGTTGCGCGATCGCTGTCGACCGTTCCAACCTGGATCCCCTTGCTCCTTCTACAGCCGGGAGGGGGAGATGAGCGTCACGCGCAAACGACTAAATGTATACGGCTAATGAAGTAATGAATTAAAAGATACGGGCAAGTAGATAATTAAGCTCGGGTTTGGAGAGGGGAGGGGAGGGAGGTGGGGAGTGAAAGCCTTTTTCGCCAAAACGGATATCCTGATCGATTCATTGCTAAGAACATGGCCGAAAGACCGCAGAGGCCCCCGATACTGACGGCAGAAAAGAAAAGGCTCTTTATCAGGGTCCCTTTCCAAGGGGATGCACAAAGTGAGCTTTTAAGAAGACGCCTAACCCAAGCTGTCTCACAGACCTTTCCAGCAGCTGACACCCGTGTACTGTTCTCCACCAGTCCCATCCTATACGGAGATGGCAAGGACAAACTACCAGCTCAGACCACCTCTATGTGTATTTACTCCTTCACCTGCTCCTGTGGGGCAGGATATATTGGTCGTACGAGCCGGCTTTTGTCCAAAAGAATGAAAGAACATCTCGCAGCATGGTTAGGAAAGGGACAAATAAAGAATATCAACAGCTCGATCCTCGCGCACATGGTAGACACAGACCACCGTGCAGACGCCAAAGAGGCCTTCAGAGTGATTTACAAGGTCCCATCAAGCTATCCAAAACTGCTTGGGCAGCGCTTGTTGGCTACGGCAGAGGCGGCTGCAATCAGGCTATACAAACCAGTTCTATGCGCACAGAAGAACTTCGTACAGGTCCCACAGTTACCATGGGTCAAAGCCACCAAGCCAACCACCCGCATGTAATTACCTTCGCCGGGACTCGCCTTCCCCGGGCGCTGACTGGAATTGTGGTGTTTCATTCTCCCCCTCCCCTCCCCTCCCCTCCACTCTCTAAACCCGAGCTTAATTATCTAATTACCCGTATCTTTTAATTCATTACTTCATTAGCCTGAAGAGAATTTATCGAAAGCAGACGTATGCTCGCCAAATTGCCTTTTGAATTTTTTAATGGGAATTTTCGCAACTCTAAATGTATACGGTCGCAATTGACAGGACGTGTGCTCCTCTCCCCCCCCCCTCCCCCCCACCTCCAACTAAGGTGGCAAAGCATCTGACATGAAAATGTTCGATAAACGGAGTATTCGGATTCACATCTCAGTTGCTCGGCGGGGATTGCGGTACGGTTTTCAGATAACGACTAAGGCCCAGGCCTGTTTACTCAATCCTTTTATGCCCTTTGTGACAATGATTAACGACCCAGTTGTTTGCACAACTCCAACTCGACCTTGTGAATGCGAACTGTCTTCTTCGAGGGCAGCGTGTTAGCTTTGTAGGCAGGACTGGGGCGGACTTTCCGCTTTCTAGACATTTGGTTACAGTAAAGGGACGGAGGTGTATTTTTCCACCTCGGGAACAATTTCAGCTGGCCTGACTACTAACCGCATTTACTTGGGCCCGGTTTGCTTGAATTTGTGCGATGTCCCTTAAGAGGGGAGGACCTTACAGATAAGGCGAGTAAGTTTTACTCCCCAAATATTGGGTGTGTCGTATCGTGCATATGTAACGCCGGTGGGATAGGGCGGTCACTGCTGGCTTCTCTTTGAAATTTACTTACCTTTGAATTGAAAAATGTACGATATAACCCACTGGACCGGAAAATCGAAATAAATCCGTTTAACACGCCGGGGTAACACCCCATTTTTCAGAGTTAACTATGCGGTGTTTGAAAATCCAGATAATTTTTTAATACTTTTTTAGCGTTAAGGCTTATTAATAATCTACGGACTTTACTTTTGCGGATGTTATAAAACACTGTGCAGTTGTCAGCGCCCTTTATAATACTTAGGATTGCCTGCGTTATTCAAAGACTGAGGTTGGTAGCATCACAACAGACTCCCACCCTGCAAACTACAGACGTCTAGGTTCATGAGCTTAATCGCTGGAAACCGTTTAAATGATAAAATCTATAGAAATCCGAGGTCCCTACAGCCATTAGATGTGTCTTCTTAAACAAATCCGAGTCGGATGTGGTTATGTAGGCTCACCTGAAGTAAACAAACCCCAGTCACCCCTAATACGGACCGGTGGTAATAGGGATTTAGACAGGTGGGGCCGGGGAACGCACAGGCGACGAGGTCAAACAGTTGTATGCAAAAGAAAAGCTATTGGCATTGCTCGGTTTTACTTTGAATGTTTGAGAATTAGTTGCGGTAACCCTTAACCCTAACCCCTAACTATAGCCTCTAATCCTAAACCCTACCCCATAACCATAACCCCTAACCATAATCCCAGCCCTTAATCCCAACCCCAGCATTATTTATTCATCAGGTGGGACTACCAAAACACATCTCAGCCAAATCAGGACCACCGACTCTCCGGATTTGCATCCGGGTTCGTTTCCCTTCCGAGCTACCGGAGTTCACCATCGGCATATGTTTTGTGTCTAAGGAAGTCATTATTTTCATAGTATGTTGCAACGAAGGCTCTTTTTAGTCATCGCACAGCACATTCAGTAAACCGTGCATCATGCCTGTTAAGCATTCTATAGAAACGACGCAGTTCCACAAGTAGTAATAGAACACAATGTGGACTGTATTGTTTGTGGCGCTCTTAAGCACCACAAAACACAGACTTAGCTGTTACCGTGTAAGGACCTGCAAGTCACAGATTTAGCTGCAAAGACTAGTAAGGTGCGTCAG